GGGAGGACATCCACCACACAGTAAACTCGTGCGTGGGAAATTAACGTTCCTACCCCTCACCCTGCCAGGAGACGGGGCCAACGGTATATTCGTCCTTATCCGAGAAGACTAGAATATCTATCCATTTTATGATTATAGAAAGGTAGCAAATTCTCCTCACTTATTTTATGACCATGAGTATTGGTCCGATCTTGAACTAAAGAATTTGACGATTAAGTTGAAAACCTTCGTGATCCTAATATGTAGTTACCTAAGCATCTGGATACTCTGTATTGATCCACATAAATATTATATTTTACTTTTTTCTCAGTTTGTGAGTAGGTGGCGTTCTCCCATCCGGCCCGATAATCAAAATTAATTCTCTCTTCTCTCTCTTAAATGACTTTGGTTTCTCCGCAAAAATTGATTTCGATATAAATTTTGTTGTTCTAAATTGGTTTTTAAAAGATTGAAACGCGGCCTGAAAACCATTTGTAATTGAATAATCCTTCACAAAAAGTAACCCGGAAAGTCGAGACGAGAGGTAGTTGCAGTTAACAATTACGTTAATCAATGTGACTCTCATTCATTTAATATCTGAATTCTCCAAAACAATTTGTTCGTTTGTGAAACGGTGAGCTAAGTTTTGAGTTTTTTTGTAAAAACTCTTTCGCCCATTCTTTGCAAAACCCTTGAATTTGGACATTTCTGCCGTAAATTTTACAACAGAAACAGAAGGAATTCGATGAGTGAAAGTCGTATTAAATCCCCTTGTGTCTAGCTAGAAAAAGAGTCCCATTTGAATTCCGCGTTTCGGTGGAAGAAGACAAGATTTACAAACGCCATTGTAGAAAACAAACGAGAAGACTCTCACGACTCCAAGGCACACATTTCGCTTACAATTTGACTTTCAGTGACATTGTTAAACTGAAAAGAGGTAAATCTTCCAGGATTAATCGTCCTTGGAAACAAATAGTTCTTTCCACAAGGTGATACATATGACTCGTGTGTGTTTGCCATACCAGTAATATTGTTCATTCGTAGTGTTCATGAACGGGGAGGTACTGATTGCGGACAAGGAATTACAGCCGTCACGGTAACGGCAACCCTCCTTCCGGTCTCGTTTCAGCAAAAGGTGTACTTATTTATTTATAAATTTATTTACTTTTTCGCAATATGTGGTCAATGTAGCCTCGCGGCACTTTGCCATACAAACTAATGAGTTAGACGTCTCAGTGGTGACTTGACTGTGAGACTTGCAAAGTCACCCACAAGCTGCTCAGCAATCGTGTTTTCTAGAGTGAGTCATACGACTTCCTGTTCACACTGAAAAAGGTGTTATAACGTGACAAATCCGAAAAAGGGAAATTAAGTCATTTGAATTCTGAACATGCTGCCCTTAGGAAATGCAAAATAAATTATGTATCACGAAAGTTTGGAGATGAATACGTTCTGATATTTATTGAAATGGGAAAAACTTTCTTTTTTACATCAAAGCTGCCAACATAGAGCATTGAAAATAAGAAGGAATAAGCGATGCACAGTTCGTAAAAAAAGTAAATGAAGCTTTGTCAATATATGTCACTCAATCTGTCACGCTAGATTAGTGTGTATGAAAGAATTTGTAATTCTGCAAAACATCATCATAAATTTTAGAAACTGAACACACTATACAAAGAACCCTTTTAAAGAAATCTCCTGTCCTCCACATATTGTAAATCTTTGCAAGGTTTCAGTTTGAACAGCGCCTACACATTTATCCAACGGCGTTAACCGCCATATCGCTGAAGGAAGAAACCGGGCAAAGCGACAGTATTCAAAATGGCGTCGGTTGAATTATTTAACCAGGAAGTTAGATCGATTTAAACTATTAACAGCGAAGAGGGAGCACTTTCCTTAAATAAAACAAATGGATATTATTTCTCTGTTTACATATACATTGCTACATGCTCTTCAATATGGTGCTTTCTGAGAATTCGTGCGTCATAAGACGCTCGCCAATCGCTTTGTAATCAGCGGAAGTGCTGCCGTATTAAATCAGCTTATGGAGTCTGTTTACAGCAAAGTCATGAAACATTGTCGCAAGGAAAAAAAGAAAGCGTCCAAAGGCTTAAGATGTCCAAATATCAAAATTGTGTAAATGATGTTTGAAGAAATCAGCACCAACCATTTTCTCAAGCTTGCTCTTCTACTAAGCTTACGGTTCAAAAGTCGAACATTCACGTGAAGATTTACTTTGACGTTATTCGATCGTAGCGAAAGCAATATCGTTCATCGGGAAAAGAGTTTATCAACGGTGAGAAGTGCTTACCTGTTCTCAGCTCAAATTAATTCCTCCCATATTGGCCTCAGCGGACGCTACTTACACAACATACATCCAAACAGTGTGCAAATATCGAACGATATCGCCTCGCACAGTTGTTCCGTCGAAAGTTATTTGCTAATGCATAAATTAAGGTCTCTCGAATGCAAGGTCAAATTTGATTGATATCAATGCACAATATCTGATACGCCCGATTGACTGGGGCTGAAACGGGTCTCCGTCAGATTAGATGAAGAGATTGGAAGATGCGCGTCGTAAAATGATGAACACCCCAGCATCTGCTTACGTTCTGACATTTAGAAACTTATAGTACATAGGTAACTTTTAACTCGAAAGATAATGACAAGTGACAAGTACGTTCTTTATATAGTAACACACGAAACTTGTACAATCAGCATCTTTGACATTAAGGACTCATGTCGAGTACTCATTTACAATAAATTAGTCAACTAGCCCTTTTCATTTCTATGTTTTATTCTGGTCTCCAGATTTCCACAGAAAGTTGTAACTGTGATCGTAATTTTACCGAGTAATCATTCTATTTTCAATACTAGGAAGAAACGCCTAGCTTCATAACATGCGAAGAGGCAGTCACGCAAGCCTATTTGCCGCTGCTCTGTTTTCACGAAACAAAACAACTTCTTTCTGCATACATGACGAACATGAAGCCAGGGGCTCAAAACTCTCTTTTCAAACGAATCTTCTCTACTGGCTCGAGTGAATGGTATGACTTTCTTGTCATCTTATAGTAAATTCTATAAATCCACTCTTTATTGAATTTTTATCCCGTAATTAAGCACTCCATGCAGTTGAATGCCCAAACATGGTTCTGTCCTGGTGTACCGGTTCACAAGGGAATTACCATTGTTCTTTCTTTGTTTAGGAGTTATCGGTTAGCTATTGTGTATTGTTTGGTCTTTTGTATTGGCTCTTGTGAACCGGTACACGAGGACAGAACCCCAAACATTTTCAAACGAAGTAAGCTCATTATGCATGTAATTATGGCTTGATACAAAGCAGACTTCAGTCACGAAGCTTGTGAATTTCTAGTTGGCAAACTCTTTGGACTTAGAGGGTTATACTTGATCATTGAGGAAGTTAGCGCCAATAAACGTTACCCAAACTGATGGTGTAAACCTTACCAGAAAGCGCGGAGATCAGTGAATAAAAATTCACGTTTCATCTTGGGAATCCTGCGTTAACAAGTAAAAGACTGGTAATGAGATTAGTCGAGCAACATGGCGAACGTTACTTCTGCACAGGTGCTGACGTAGTGTACTAACTGGCTTATCACAGTCGTTTTTCGCTGCATGAATTCGACAACGAGATCCACACAGGACAGCAAAACCTCAGTAGATCAAAGAGAAGTATTAAAAACTACAAATACGGGGACAATGGCCGCTCAATTGATTGCAGGTACATAACAAATAACTCACGGTAGGCTAATGATCTTTTTGAATGTGTTCATTTTACGGGTGGTGCTACTGTACCTGAATGATTGTCAACTTCATATTGGAATGATAACTAAGGTAAATAAACCTCGCTGCGAAACTTGAAATGCTGACATTTTGAGCGTGACCTTAAGAGATCTTTGACCAGACAACGATTATTTAAAAAAAAATAGACCTCATCTAAAGATAATTTTTGTTTTTTAATTTCATGATACAAATACCTTTTCAAATGGGATACTTCTTGTGAAGACCTATGTTTATTAACCGTGCAACAGGATAATCTTGCCAACCTGTGGGCCAACACGAGATAAACAAAATACCTTCGTGTCACGCAATCAATTCTCCCATCGAAAAGCGTTGTTCAGTTTCTAGAAGGAATAACAAAGGTCGGGAGGCGAACTCGAGCGTTTCGTGACAGTGCAGGACTGTATATGTGTTCAACGCGTTCCGCAACACGTGTTGTAAACACAATTCACTGAGAAAGGCAGAATGATTCAACCGCCTTGTCCTTGCATTAACGTAAACATGCATGCTCCACTCCATATTTCTTGCTTCGCTTGGTAACATGCACATAAATATCCATTGCGTTCGCGAATAATAAGACAAGTGTCAATTGTTGTTGTAAAGTTTGAATAGGGTACTTCTCAGTCGCGTTTTTACGGTGCAAGAACTTCTTGGCATCTGAAAACATGGTTTCTCATTTGAATATCTTGAAGCCAAAGTACTTCGGTGCCAATCAATAAAAATAATTAAGATCTTTAAGTTGGATTTTAACTACTATACAAAGCTTATAAAGAGTTGCAAAACAGTTATTTTATGTTGTTTCTCTTGTTCTCCTGCTTTACACAGCGCATAGGACACAAAGGAATGTAATACATGAGGGATTCGGAGCAAAAAGTATAATGATTTGACTAAGCTTCTTTAGCAACCTTTAGGCCGGGGCAATATGAGTTTACTTGTAATGTTTTCCATTTTGGCTTTAGATTACAGGGATGGTGATCTCGTCACGTCATCACCAATTTGATTTTTCTTCCTTTGTTCTTACATTTTCTTAACTTCTATGTTTTTAACGTTTGAGTATTTGAATTATTTTGTGAGGCATTTTTGTACACAAATTTATATAATTAATCAAAAGCTTTCAAGCACATACCTGGCCTCTTAGCAAATTATGATGCAGTTGGCAATTCTCCAATACCCCCGTCCACGCCAAGAGCTTTGACTCAAAATTACCAATCCGTTAGTTTGAAGCCAACTATAAGAGACTAAGAAACTTTTCAGGTGCGTCTTCAATACGAATATGTAGTCTTGTGCTTTGCTAGCTTACGAAACAAAGATTGAAGATTAAAGACCAAAGACCGAAGAGCGAAGACTGAAGATCACTGACTTGATCACCAATAAATGTTTTCAGAACTACTCGGAATGCAAGGAAAATGAATGCTGAAACTTTTTGTTCTACTGTAAAAGAAACGAAAACAATGTTTTTTCAACAAAGAAATTCACTTTAACGCTTTCGACGTCTGACGTCGAGACATACTAGATAATCGGCATTTTAGATGTAAAGAAATACCCATTACAAAAAATAGATCCTCGCTACTACATACTGTAAATTACTGCGAAAACAGCCTACGTCGGTGAAGTCTTCGTTTTGTGGAGATATCTGCCTCAAACTTTAAAACGAAGATTTTCGGAAGTTTCATAACGCGACAGGAAGAAAACACAGAAAAAGATTGCCATCTAAAATAATCAGAAGTTGGGCATAGTACGTGAGAGGGTAGTTTTACAGCTTGAAGAATCAAGGGATTATCGAGGGAAGGCTAACGGTGACAGTGAAAACTTCCAGAAACGTTATTGTCTTTTCAAGAACGTCGCTCGAAAGTGAAACGAGGCTGAAACGAAAATTGGATTGCATTTCGTCTCGAGCTGGAAAAATTAAAGAAGTCTGAGTCTCCAGCGGGGACTCAAACCGACCTTTGAATTTCGCGCTCTCGTGTTGTACACTGCACGCTGCACGCTACACGCTACACGCTACACGCTGCACGCTGCACGCTGCACGCTTCGAAGGTCTGAGGTTCAATTCCTTGTGGGGATTACGAGTTTTTCTTTTTTTCCCAAGCTCCTGAAATTCATCATACGTCTTAATCTAAATTTCGGGTTTTTAATACAATTATAAAATGAGATAGGTTCGAATAAGAAACCTTTATCAAAATAGGAAATGCTATCTCCAAAAAGACAATAATAAGACGATGATAACGCAACCCTAAGAACTTCAGCTGTATGCATGATTTATAATTAGACAAAGAAAGTAAATTCATTAAATGTTTGTTCGAATCAAGTAAAAAAAAGGCGTGGTTCAACAATGGTTCCCATTTGACACGTTAGCAAAAGGAGAAAGTGTTCATACTATTTCAAGTCTGATACAATGTATATATGAAGTTCATATATTTTGAACTGCGGTATTAGATACGTATGATGCATAAATAGCGCTCTCTACTGCGAGGATCGTTCATCATACGTATATTTCAAGTCTTGTAAAAAGTGGCACGAAAAAAAAGGGGGGCAGCAGTTAATGGCGCTCTCACTTTAAATTTAATGGTAGTTTTTCAAAATCAAAATCAGTTAATTACCAAGCAAACTGGCCGGCTGGCAATCGCGAATGACTGAGTCGTCTACTCGCCCTTTGATTTTGCCAATCATTGCCTAAAGGTGGCCTATTTACATTACCTACCCAGCTGATAAAACCAAAATTACCTTGTTGTACTCCCCCACTGACGTAACACCACAGTTTCTTTAGAAACATACCCCCTTTGTTCAATGAGGTCAATTTTGTCACCCCTCATTTAATTTGAAATACATAGCTGTTAGCTCTTCTCACAATGGAGAAACGTAGAAGGTACTGTTATCGCATCCTCGATAATAAATATTGATGTTGCACTGTCAATACAGGTACCTGAAAGGCTGATTTGTTGTTAGCGATGTAAAAAATTCATTCCGAGAGCTGGCATGGTTCCTTTCTAGAACCAAAGCAGGAAACGGAGAAGAGAAGATACAATAGAGAGATTACATTTATGCAAAAATATGAAGACAGTGTGGGGATGAGATAAAGTTCAGCAACGTGGCCATCGACCACGTTTGCCGCGTTGAACAAAAGAAAGTTTAGCTCTAAAATATTTCATCTCCTAAAGCTTGTCGCCTAGTTTCCAACACGAGTGCAGTCAGTCTCTGAAATAGCCGATTCTTGTATTGCACAGACATCTTCATGACTGACGTAGAAACATGCTTGTAATTCCTGCAGGATGATATCTTGAGATAACAAAATTTATTCATTCCCAAAGCAGGTTATTACATCATGCAAAACACGTCGTTTCTTTGTTGCGTCAAACAAAAGCCGGGAGCAACAGGTGTTCAGCTGTGTAATTTAAAACCAAATTAAACAAAAGAGTAGAATGAGCTGAAACCTGCTAATATCTATTTAAATGCCATATCACTGATTCGCGAGCCACTTGTAAAGTGATCCTTGGGACAGAAGGAAACGAAAAGCGCTATGATGCGTCCCGCGTCTTTGTTTCTATTTGTGGCAATTTCTTTTGTTCAAGGTAGGCCTGAATACACTGCATTTGAAAAATAAGGTATGTTTGTAGCTCGTCTTTCCTGCACCTTAAAAATGGTTCATTTTGCGTACTTTTCATTACTTCTCTCATCCTCGCCATTTTTTTTTTTTTGTAAGAAGACTTATCCTGCCTCTTAAATCTGATTGTTACCCCAAACAGTAACTTGATACAGAAAGTATCATTCAGTCAATCAAAAATAGTTCCTATTTCGGGTGTAAAAGCCAGTGTTCAATATCCTCTGTATGAAAGTGTTCAAAAAAGAACTCTCACCACAGATCCAGTCATTTTTTTTTTAATGAAATTACACATCAATCACGCGGGAACTTCTCACAATGCACAATGAGTCCTAACACTAAAGGTTGTCAAGAGCTGTGTTCTGGCACCGAAAACATTAATCGAGGGAGTGTAGCGTGTCTGCTTGCAAGTGCGCAAAGAAGGGCTCGACATGTTTGGCCATCAATTAATCTTCAAATCGTCATGTCAAAAAGACAAAATGTCTACCAAAAAAAAAATCGCGCAAAAATAAGTCTTAAAATCTCTTTGATATCAGTTCTTGAAATGCAAGAATTAAATTGAACCAAACTTTTCCCGAATTTGAAAAAAAAGGAAACCAAGAATGGACCCAAATATTGACACATGTTTATTTTTATGTCTTGTTACTGGCAGTTATGGGTAAGGTTTTGCATTGACTATGAAACGAAAGCCATGTATTTACTAATGGCGTTCTTTAATGATTAAAAAACATTATACTTAATCGGCTCACTTAGCCGTCGCTTCCGGCAAGCGTTAAGGAAAAAAAAAGTACTCTCAGTTTTAAAAATTTCGTAATTTTTCTCTAAGAATTTTTCCAGAGAGTAACAGTGCATGCAAAATTGTGGTTTTAAAAGAGATGTTACTTCAACGCCGTTCTTCTGACTAGTAACACAGACTTCTTTACGGTGATTTCACCTTCCAACCTAAATTCTGACATTTCAGAAGATACCAAGCCTGTAATAGACAACAATCTGAAAGTACTAAAAAGTATAGTATCACTGACATGTTTGTGCGAAGTGTGGCCTTGCTTTTAGGGACCACAGTTTTAGAGCCTTGTTGGTAATTTGATAAAAATGATAACACACAATTGTTCATTCAAATAAACGTGGCTTTTATCCTTTTATGCGATATTACAGCTACATTTGTTATCTTTATTTTTCTTGATAGACTGTCAATCCGAAAAAGAAACATTGTGAACAATGAAAATGGCCTATCGTTAAAGATATTTTTCAAATGTTTCCCTCCTAGAAGGCTCAGCAGAACACCTCAATATCTTTGCCTCTTTCTGCGCTATTTTTGCAGGTCAGATGTAATGTATCATATCATCATCGCCATCGTCATTATCACCATGATCATTGTTATTATCATTACTATCATTTAATTACAATTGATGGTGTTCACTTTGCTCTGTGCTTGTTTTAAAAAACTCGAGTAGCACTAGTTACAGCCTTCATTACTTGCAGAAAGTCACAGTGAGCCTGATTACGTGACTAATTTGAAGAAATACTTCAATGATGGATACAACACAGGGACCTACTCCAAAAAAATCTCTTCAAAAGAAGGTAGGTTGTTTATCTTATTTATTTACTTTTTTATTTCTCACGGCTCAATAACGCCAGAGAGAGGTATCCAGGGACCAATTTAACGTCCCCATTCCCTCCCCTCACCTCCCTTGTGGCTTATGCCAGTCCTTGGGGTCAGTGGAGACGGGAGAAATCGGGAAGCAAAAATTGGCGGGAGATCTAGGAAGATGTGCCTTTTATCAGTCTTCTAAAGAGTATTTCCTCCCGCACCCTGTATTTTGCTTTTCTCTGAGTATTTGAACAGGCTAAAATAAAGACCTTCAACCACTTTTTGAAGCTTACAAGTAACAAATTTTCCACCATTTATTGGCTAAAAGCACGTCTCAGTGAACTCGTAATTCATCTCCATTTTCTGGGAGGAAGAGAGACAAAAACGAGACAAAAAATCGGCAAAAACATGGACCTCAGCAAGGGATGATCCAAGATGCATTTAGTTAAGAATGCTTTTTCCAGTATTAAAGTGGCAAACATTAATTACCACAGTGACTTTTATTGGGATTTTGTTGGTTGGCGTCTATTGGTAGATTTAATAAAAGTGAATGGTAAAGATTGAAAAGGAATTTTCATTTTTCCTAGAGCTAGAAAACGAAGCCAAGAAAGTATTTCGTGAATTTCTAACAGCCCTGAAGTATAAGGATACTGAGCGGTTCCTCAAGGAGTGGAAGACGACATTTACAAGTGATGGGCCGTTTGCATCTCAACAGGATCTCAATAATCTGGAGAGGGCAATAACTGATCCTGATGATTTTATGGTAGGGACCTCTCTGAGCTGTCTGATTAAAATAAGGCAGTAACGTGCGAGGGGAAAAGAGCCAGAAGTGTGTGAGGCTTTTTTTTTTTTTTTTTTTTTTTACAACTGCAAAAATTACCGCCGTACAAGTATTTGAAATTTATTAATTCTGTAAGACGGTCTCGCATGCAAAGGGCTGGATACAAGATGACTTTTTATGTTCAAAATAGCATTAAGCCTTGCCTCGCGTCTTTTATGCACCCTATTCGCCACCAACCCAATCATTCTGTCGAACAATATTTTTGACCTCGAGTAACGCATTTGCGACTGTAGAAAGATGGGATAATTCTTTTTAAACCAACATGATTATGTAAGTCAAACTTTAGACAGTTTTTTAACGTGGTCACCATGTACTAAGCGGTCGGTTTTCAAGTCTCGAAGATCTTCCCATGAATAACTAATTTTTACTTCTTTTAAGCGGTCACCATTTTATACCAATCTCCGTCACCCCATACTGAGTCCCAACGGCCTGTTTGCATTGTCCTTCACCTATGTCAAACGGTCACTAAAGCGGAACCGCTCAAATAAAATTAAGAATAATCTGTCACTGAAATAAAATTTAATCCATGTTTATCTCCCAAAATCAATATTAGCGGAATTTATGAGCGAGTTTTGTTTTGTACACTAAGTGGTCAACCATGGCATAAAATGAGGTTTACGTCGTTTTTTACCTGCATTAGGCGGTTATTAACCTGTATAAAGCGGTGACCACGCCATTTCCCGTGGGGCTCGTATTAGTAAAAGTTGGCTTTGATTTAAAAAATTCTACAAGTTTTGGCCACAGTTTGCTAAAACAACTTCGGTACAAAGAAGCATGATGTACAATACTGATGGTATTTAGAAGGAAATCTAAACAGAGGCCCATGCTCAAAGCTTTAGACACTGCGGTGGGGATTTAGTCTTACTTTCTCTGAACAACCAGCTTCTGTTGCAATCTCTATCCGTTTTTTCTCATTTGTTATAACTGTGTTCACCAAAAGACGAGCTTGTATATTGGCGACCTTCTAACAAATCGAGATGACGCTGATGAAGCTACAGAGGCTTACAAAGAAGCATTTGTGTCAAAAGACAATGAAAGGGTAAGTTATGGCATGACAATTACAGGAAGTATATGTGAAATGTTATTTCTTAGTGTTAATATTATTATTATAATTATCATTATTAAAAACTGGATAATTAGATAATGCAATTCAAGACTTTTTATTGGCTTAGCCATCATGGTATATGAGCCAAGATACCATAATCTAATATCTGTACATTGTAACATCCGGTTTCTTCTTACAAAATAAAGTCGAGAAGATTTGTCTAATATCTTGGGGGCGTTTTTTTAAATAAAACAATTATTCCACCCGCGCTTGTTGGATATGAGAGGATTATAGCCAACGAGGCGCTACGCGCCTATCATCTATCATCTCATATCCAACGCGCTGGTGGAGTAATTGTTAATTATAATATACCACACAAGTGAATAGTCCTTTTCGCGCGCGCTGATTGACTGGTTCAAAGGAGAATGGCAAGTGCTATTACTCACCTCCAAGTAGCAGACAAGACAAAATCACGCGTCAATAGTTTAATTTCTGACTATTCCTTGGTTTACTGAAATAATTAAACAAAATATGTGGTATCTGTGCAGTGCATACTAAGACAATTGTTCAACTCCACTTTGGTAGACAAGTGATCTTGATCATGATCATAATCAATGACATATCAATTTTGAAAAAGAGGGTGACAGCTAAGAAAGACATACGTTATGAAAACTGGAGATATCAGCATCAATTCGTCATCCATCTCAAAATCTCTTGTTTTAAATGTACTTATAATTATTGACATTGCTCTTCACATTTCTATGGAAAATATATTTTACCTACCCGACCAGACAGTGTCTGGGGTACTTACAATAAACCTTTGGCCTCGATAATGTAAGTGGCCCACTGAATCACGATGCATATAAGTGTATACCGTTCACTTTGTAATTTTTTGGTGATTTTCTCTTAGGTTGCGTTGTTCTACCTGGGAGATGATGACATCATGCACGGAGTGTTGGCAGCTGGAGTCAGATCAAACATGGATGCAGGCTTTTTGGTTTTTCTCATCGATTGAAATTAAAAATATCCATATGATATTTGGAGAAATCAACCCAAATGGATGGTTTCCCCATTTTGAATGACTTATGTAGCGCGTATCAGGAAACTACTTGCTAGGAAATAACAGGACATTCTGGAAAGATGCAGATTTCATCTTAATACAAACTTGAGATTCATGTTTTAACCTTCCTTTAATATATTGCTGTCTATGGTTCTCATCAAGTCGTGTGTGTTCGATATCTGTAGGAAGGGATGGCGATGTTCTTGTTTCGTTTCCCTAGAAACGAAACGCATCCAGGGTAAACTATTTATTAGGTGGGTTCGTGGCCAATCGAAAGGAAGTTTGTAATTGAGAATGAAAACAACTAAGACGGAGCTTGAACAACAAGCTGTGGACAGCAGCTTCCCCGTCTCAGTGAAACAACATTTGTGAAGACCAACTGGACCCTCGAAAAAATAATGCATTTAAGACGTTTTCTACTCTCCACCATATTAAGTAGAAAGCCTACATTCACAACAACGTCTTAACTATGTTTAAATACCCTCCTTTATATCAAAGTTCCACACACCAAAATAGGTAAGCAAAATGGAAATGAATTGTAGAGCCGGCATAGGCCACTTTCATAAATGGCTGCCGGATTAATATTCTTTTGTTTGAATTTAAATTAGTCCTACTGGCCTCGTTCTCCAGTACAAAATTAAAAACAATACATTATCTCAAGCGAGGCCAGAAGGGCTAATTTAAATTTAAACGAAAGAATATTTACACGGCAGCCATTTATGTGCATAGACAGAAACTTACCCGATGTCTACTCTTAACAAAGTGACCCACAGGGAACACAATTCGTGGGGATGAATTATGTTGAAGGATAAGCAACAGTAGAAAGCAACTCTAGTATATGAAACAATTTATTTTCCCTCTTTATTTCAACTTTGTGTCATGCTGAAGTTTTTGTTTTTCAATTTTCTCAGAGATTAGTCAAGGCTCCAAAGACATTTCTCATCGTACAATGATGAAGAAATATGACTGTCACAGTTCTACTTGTATTTCAATAGCTCGTAACTCACTTTCAGTGAAAATTAATAGCCATTGTTAAAAAAGATTTGGAAAAAAACCGACAGAAGTGTTCGCGTTAATTGTAATTGCAGTTCAGTCCACTTATCATCTACAAATCCGACACACACCATCATGAAACTTAGGATAAGTGTTTCTGTTCGGCCAAAAGGGCTGCCTTCCAAACCTCTATCGGTGAGCAGTCACTGATAGTTCCATTCAGTTTATTTGTCAATCTCTATGTTAACATCCCGCTGCATTGCAAAAAGGATATTCGAAATTTCGTTAGTTTCATTTCCCGAAATCGGCACCAATTTGTATTTCCCTCTGCATTCTGCATTTTCATCCAGAATTTCGCTCAGTTTTCGTGTGAATAACATTATCTAAAAAGTTAAAAACAAAAAAAAAGCTTCAGTCAGAATAAAAAAAAGAATGAGATAAAGTGAATGTCGTCACTTGTATAAGATCCATTTGCATCATGATAATTCAAAACCTAGACTCGATTGTGGTAAGTTGATCATCCTGTACAGGGCATCATGTGTGATCAACAAAGGAAACATCTGGCCAATAGAAATCTATTTGTTTCATGTAATCATATATATAGAACAGAAGAAAACAGATTTAAAATTGTGATGTCAATTAATAATCTCTGATTCTGATTTCAAGGGTCTTACGAACAAGAACCAATTAATAGACCCCAATATTAGGTATTCTACAAAATGTATATCAATCAAGTGAAATATCAGAAAATTATCTCTTTACATAGTAAAAAACAGTCGGTAAACCCGAGATTCGAAATCTGAAAATGACAGCAAAATGGTGTCATACACTCTTCATACTCAAACCTACATGTTTGTAATCATATGATGGGAGGGACAAGTTGGTATTGAAAATTGAGAAAGAGAGGCAACAAAGTTATGAGAACCTCTCACATTTTCCTAGTAAATTCACTCCTAATAGCACCTTTAAATACCGTTCAATACGTCTTTTAACTCCACTGTAACGCCTCAAGGCTTAAAAAGTAACAACTATTCGGAATCATCGTGGACTGGCCTCGAGAAAAGGAGGAGATCGAACCTACAACGATTCTAAGGATTTTATACTTCTAAGATGGCTACCACAAAAGGAGACTTATGATGGACTTATTTCTATCATCTTGAAACTTTAATTACACAGAAAATCTATGGACACAGATTACTCTCTACCTGTTGATCACGCTCTGGGCCGGTTAATTGAGCGTCTACAAACATATCGTAAAGGGTCATCAGAGGTGTGGCGTACTCCACAATAAAGTAGTATTCTTCCATTGTTCCATCTGCCGGGCAGTGCATCCCTACTTCGTGTACCGCATGTTTGTAACTTCTGTCCTTACTTCCTTCCCTGTTAATTTTACTCTCTGGGAGATTGCCGACCCATTTCACCCTTGAATCAGCTTGTTCAATGTCATCACAACTGAAGCACGTTTTTGGCAGTAGGATGAAAAGCTCCTTGTCTGTTATTTTATAACGAAATTGCTCCGATTCTGATATCCGTTGTTCCAGTCTTGGCAGCACCAGCTTCAGATAACCAAAGTAATAGCTCCAAGCCAGCCCAGCAGCCAAATTCTTATTTCCTCTTTCATTCGGTAGAATTTTAACATGTAACAACCATTACAAGAAAACGAAACCGCTCAATGAAAACATGGCAGCAGGAAGTGGATATGAGAGGAACTTGTAATATTCGTACAACGTGTAAAAAAGTGTCAAAGCGGAAGTGATCGCCGTTACGACCCACCATACGTAACATCCTTTCCAGTATCCTTGAATTCTTGAGTAATTGAATTTAAAAATTTCAGACACGAGATCCAGTCTTAGCGGTAGTTTCCTGACTGATAACTTTAGAATTAAAAAGGCTGTTACAAATTATAGGAGAAGAAATACGTCCTTCTTCCATTCTTCCCTCACATAAAAAAAATACCATTGAGCTGGCCAGCACATCCTGGATAGCTAAGGAAGTAGCTGTAATATCTCTTGCAAGATAAGAAAGTTTATGAGAAACATAAGGAATTAGTCCTAAACCAATTCCACGAGTTCTATTAGGACATGCTTCATCAGTTATGGTGGGTAGAATGGCTTCCCCTGTAAAGAGAAAGTTATGTTATTGATATAAAACCATACAAAGAAATATGCGATAGAAGAGCAAGCAAGCTGTTTTCCGATTTATTAAGGGGAATCCCTCACTCGGCCCTTCATCCGATTTATTTTCACTTGTAGTCGCAAGGTCGCAGGGAACTGGCACTTCCACGTCCAATGGGAACACCTTTTCATCTTTTCCCGCCCTTAACTCTCACACGGTTCTTTCGTCAATGTTTGAAAGTAGGTAGGCGAAAAAGGGGGGTGAGTCTCGCAGAAATATTCTTAAACTTAAAAAAGGCTCAAAAATAAATCTATTGAAATAATTTCGCTAACCAGAAAACGCCGGCGAAGTACGCTACTGTATCATTATTTTTGCCAAATGGATTCAGAATTGCGAAATCTTTGGTTTAACAATGACCTCTTTACAATACGCTTTCGTGCATTTTTTGCGATAAGTTCGAGGTGAATAAAGCATCATTACTATATCATTTCAGGCTTTGAGATAATGGCAGAAAAAAAAGTGGAAGAAAAATCCAACTGAGCGGTGGACATGGCGTATTGTTCACCAAAAGCTCGAAAACCATCCACACTTTGTCATCATTCAAAGTTGTCTTAATAATTTGCGTTGAAAGGTATAGTTCACTATGAGAACGGGATTGCGGCCATTTTCAAGCGATTAACTTCCTGTTACGCGCAGTTTTTCGGAGGAATAAGGACAAAAACGCAGGAACAAGTTTTAACCACATTAAGAACCTTTTTTAGGTAATGGGTTAAAGTTGCAACATTGTCGAGTTAATGGGTCAATCTCTTTCGAACGGAGCGACGAAAGAGACTATTGATTCAAAGCATTGGATGGAGAAGGAAAGTCTAACATAGTCATACATAACAAATGGTCAAATAGCTCATACCTGAGTAAGAGGTAGCAGTCGTTATTTTCCTTAATGAGATCGTCCTTAAACGCAAGGGTCCGTCTGAAAAATTCAAATTTAACATAGCATGCTTGGTATCAACAATAACAATCCTAAATTTCTTTTAGCTCAGCATCACCTCGTAACGCGGAGAGAAGTTAGAAAGGATAGCGAGGTATGATACAAACAAAAATGGTTAAAGAAATATACGTGCAGTGAAATTATTCATACCTCTCTCAGAAAGATTTTCTTCTGTTGATTTCAACGGAAACTTTTCAGAGCCTCTTTTATCACTTGGGATTTCCATGAAAGCAGGCTGTCTCAGATCATAGGTGTCTTTCCCTTTGAAACCAGTAAATGAATACGGTAGGTAAAGTTGAAGAAAACTTCCAGGTGAACAGTGAACAATTAGCATATTTCTCATCAAAAGCTACAAAACCATCGAAACTGTCTCATCGTTTAAACTTGTTTTAAGAATTTTCCTTCTTTTAAAGTTATTTTTCACTAAAAATAGCGGATTTGCGGCCACTCTCTTGAGGAAGCCTTCACACACCGAACATCCAATTTTTTGGGAGGATTGGGAAAGGCAGAAACAATCTATTACATCGAGGACCTTTCTAGGTATCACGGTTTCTACTGGTAAAAGATATGGCATTCTCGAGCTAATTGGTCATTCTTGTTCAAACCGAACGATGAAAGAGATAATTCAGTCGATCTCGACCTCTCGAATGGATTCGAAACAATGGATGAAGACAGGAACTCTAACCTAATACAGTGAAACCTCGATTCAACAAACCTCTATATAACGAAGTCTTGTTATAACGAACCATACTTCAGTTTAAACCCGGCTAAAGCTAAAATAAAATGTATCAACCACAGAACCTCGATATAACGAACCCTCGATATAACAAACCAAGTTCCCCAGTCCCGTCGTTAAATCAAGGTTCCAGTGTAATGTTAAAAGACATGGTCAAACAGCTCATACCTGAGTAAGAAGCCTGACTCGTAATTTCCTCAAATGATGTCGTCCGCGAACACAAGGGTCCTCCTGAAAAAAAAATTGAATCTCAACTGAGCATAACTTGAACATCATTAAGGTTATTATAACAGCAATAGTCAATAACTCAAACCTGAGTGAGAAGCTAAAATTTTATTCTCCTCTGATGACGTTGTTCGAGCGGGTGGGCATAGCTGTCTGTCTGATAAAAATTTCAACCTCAACAGTATAATTTAAAATCATTTATGGCGCTTTATTTTTTGCCAAAATAATGGTTAAATTTTTTTCTCCAAGAAGTCTGCAATCTGATTGGTCCTAAGCAAGGAGTCCATCGTCGTCATCCCCGTGCATTTTCATGCACATCTCTTAATTTTTCTCTATTTTTCAACATATTGAGTGAATGGATTGAAATAACTCCTAAGTTTCCAACTTGGGCGTGCTTGGCTTAACATATGCACTTATGTTTGCAACCAACACCTGCTAGATCTTTCACTCTATATTCACGTCATCGTCCCAAACATCATCAACATTATTCTTTATGACTGTGTCGAATATAGATAATGATAGTAACAATGATTATTGCGCAAGCAAGAGAGGGTTAATTCTTACCATTCTGAGGAATCTCTTTCCCCGCTAAATTCTGCAGCTTCTCGGTTTCTTCTTCATCGTCGTCGTCATGGTCTTTGTGGTTGTCGTAGATACCGTCCTTATCGTCGCCAAAATTCATACCATTAGTAATGCTTTTTAAGTTGCAAATGAGGGTTTCTATTTGCTTCTCCCAATTGTGCGCCTCCTGGAATAAGTGACGCAAAACTTTAACCTCCTTAAGCCTCGTGCACCTATCCTTCATGCGGATCTTCGCAATTTCTTTAACCCAGGCGCCATGATCATCTGACGAAACAACAAAATTAGACCCAGATGGTATTTTCATCAGAGCTTCTCCCAATCCTGAGTTTTTACTTACAAGGATGGGCAGACCAGCTGATAAGGCTTTAAGACAGATTAAACTAAAACCTTCCTCTCTCGAGGGCATAATCGCAAGATCCACTTCAAGAAGCACATCCTTCAAACTTTCCTGGATGTGGAAAACGCTTCGTATCGTTAAAACTTTAGGATCGATACCATACCCGAGCAGCCGATATCTTGTCTCTTCTTGCATCCCATCTGCTGCACCGATAAATAAAAGATTACAATCCCCCAACTTAGCAACAGCTTTAGCTACAATGTCAACTCCTTGTAGAGTAAAGTCCTCTAAACCTCCACCACAAAAGCATACGACTCTAAAATTTTTTAATTCCTCTTGACTTTGTTCCAGTTCAGTAAACTCCTCCAGAATACCAGGGGTGAAATCGAACACGCGTTTACCATCCTTATAAGGGCGGAGGTTGGAGGAAACAATTTCATGTAACCTGGGCCCAATTGTTACTACAAAGTCTGACACTCTGCAAAGTCGAACTTGTAGTTTATGATTTTCCTCTGTTGATTTTGGATTTGAGTTCTCCTTGTACTTTCCAATTTCCTCCTAGGATTTATGGATAAATTGGACATATTTACAATGTGGGGATTGGGACTCCTTTATACTTAGTGCATGACGACCGAGCTCGATATCATGTCCTACAACAACATGGGTTAATAACTTATTTGGCACCCTGCCCAGCCAATGCAGTTCAGCGTAGCCAACTTTTTCACTTGCTTCAACAAGGTTGATGTTGTAACTTTCAGCTGCTTTCTTATCCTCGTCACTGCACTTTGGAACGAGGATATATATTTCAACCTCAGAGCTCTTAGCCATGTATTTTGCCATTTCTTTGGTTATCTCATTTATTTCATGGAGTACGGTTGAACTCCACCCAGGTGCCAAGAAAGCGACTTTGAGCTTTTTTGTGGTTGAATGGTGTCTGCTACGGCTGTTTTTGTCTTCCATATTTAGGGCTGAAGCAGAATTCGGAGGTTCTTGCCTCTAATTATAATACAATAGGTTAAGAAGATTTGTTAATGTAAGACCCTACTTTAGTAATAAAGTTAGTGGGTACATTCTTGCATATACATATAACGAACACAATCAAACTATTAACCAGCAGCCATTGCAAATGGCTCCAAGGCTGGAGAACAACTGGAAATGTTCAACCAAAATTTTCCCGCTCGTCTATGGGATGAAATTCCCAAATACGGTATCTGTTTGGTTTGCAACAAATATCTGCGCTAAACATAATGAAGGAATGTTCAATGCATTTACTCAGTCATTTTTATTTCTTTTTTACATTTATGTTCCTTTTTATAATTGTATTTTGCCCTAATTTTGGGTTTACTTCAAGAAAAGAAAGGGAACTTTTCAATATCCGCTTCCACTCATGACAAAAAAAGGACCATCCTTCCTCTAAACAAACAAAACTTTTATCCATGTCCTCCATGCTCCCACCTACTCTCGAAACCCTCGGACGTACATGCAAACGCACACTCCCACCGTAGTACAATTCCTCCCCCCTACAATGGATAGCCTGTTATTTCGTCTACAAGATGTTATTATTATGGGCTTCATATGCAAAGACTGTTGCTAGGGGTCAGTGACGTCATCCAACGTCCGGTATTTTCTCACGTTTTTTTTTTCACCACAATTTTTTGCTTGTCAAAAGTAGCTATCGACTTGATAGAAAATCAGACGACTTGGAAAATAAATAATAGGTTTATTGTATTTCCCTTTTAAACCTAAAAGCTTTAATTCCCTCGTAGCTCATTTCCACACCTAAACCGAACCGCACCTTACCTGTCATTTAACATTTCCTTCATCTATCAGCCGATTTTTTAGTTCACAGCATTTCTCTGAGATAAACAAATAACTATCAAACAGATGCTACTAGTCCTTTGGATAAAGAGCGTCTTTCCGGGAATCTTTAGGCTGGTCGAATGTAACTGTTTGGTTGGAGAGATTGTGGCTTCGTGTGATGTTGGGTTGTGGGATGACTCGTCTGGTAATCTGTTGGTGTGTGCCGGTTTCCTGTAAACTGTCGTCTGTAGTGAGTTGTCGTCACGGCTTACCAGACGGTTATTTCAATTAGCACATAGAAAAATAATTTTTTGAAGCTACCCTACTTTTCACATTGCACTTAAGTAATTAGATAGAAAAAACCTTATTTTATTTCAGATTTAATTATTGATTCTACTTTTTTGTGAAAACATAAGGGAGACATTGTTCTAGAAGTTTGTTCAATAAGTAAGCTTTTCTTTGCTTTTACAAGTACAAACAAGGTCTCAAAAAATGGGCTATATTCGACCCTGAATGACGCTAATTATGCGTGAATTGAGTTTTACCAATTTTCTCGAAAACAAAAGAATTTTTGACCAAACTATATATGTCTTGGTTGTTTTACCTATAGGCCTACCCTACAATGTGAGCCAATTCCATTTTTTGACCTTTGCTGACGAATGCTTGATTTTTCGTGACAACCTCTCTTAAAAGCTTTAATTCTTTGGAAGCTCACATGAACCTTTAGACCACTCCTCACGAGTCATTTAATATCTCCTTCATACAACAGCCGATTCCACCAAGTTCAAGGCATGTCTCCAAGCTAAAAGAAGAGTTACCAATATCAAGGGCGTCTAGGCGGGAACGCTTTAGGCTAGGCAAAAAGGTTTTTAGTTGGAGAAATGCTACCAAAGTAGATCTTACGCCAGGATACAAAAATTCCCGCACAAATGGGCTAAGAACTATCTGGAAATTCCAGGAAAAAACTCTATTAATATTTTTCTCTGAAAATCTGATATTTCTCAAAAAGTGTTTTCCGAAATAGTCACATAATTTGTATAAAAATCCAAGATTTTTTTAGGTGTTATAGAATGGAAGCAGCTTCGAACTGATTCAAAGTTATCAATCATTTTCCAGACAACGTAAGTGGCTTGTTAGCTTCATATCCTAACTTATTCTCTCTCGAACAAACAATTACGACAATAAACAGTTGGCAGAGCTTGGCAGTTTCATGGGGCCCGCTTGGAGAGAGCCGGAAAACCAAGTAAATTTTTTTTTTTTTTTTAGGATATCGGTTGTTTTTCTTCAAACATCGTCGTCTAGAAATCCTCAAATGTTCTTAAAATCCTCACAACTATTACTAAAAAACTCGGATTTTTGTATCTAGCCCGAGCAGCTCTCCGAAAAACATAATGTAACATTTGTGGAGCTCCTCAATCGGAGTGTTATCTGTTCCTGGAAAATCTTGGCCTGACATAGCAATGCAAATTGTGAGGGATTTCACTGACTTCATGAAATTTTAATTGTCCTCAGTATCATCAAAAGAAATAACTCATTGGTTGCAAAAGTCAACAGGGGTCAGTGGCAGCTCGAAATGAAAAATTAAATGAAGCATATGAAATTAGGAAATCCAGGATTAAAGGGATTACTGTTTGTGAAAGAGTTAAACAGTTAAATGGTAAAAATGCCACTGATCCAATCTCAGTTTTTTATACATGTACCAGCAGCTTTGGTTGTAATGCTAATTCAATTGCTAAGACTTCGAAATAAGAATTGACAGAAAAATATTTCTGAGCACATACATAAGTGACCAAGATATTTCCTGAGGGACCGAGAGACTTTTTTTACCTCGTTGGGTTGATTAATTCTCTCTGATCTGATGGTTCATCTCTCAAATTTTGGGGCAGATTATGAAAATTAAAAATGACTGTCAAGTACCTGTCATCAATTACATTCAGTTTAGGATGAGGTATCAGTGTTCGTTCAGGCACACATTGTGGCCATTGGAGAAGGCTTTGACTTGTTTATATTGCCTGTGAAGGCATGACTATGTCACATTCCACAACAGAGCATTGTGAACAGCATTGTAGCTTTGCTCTTATTGTTAAGCTTTATGTATTCGCTGCATGGTAATAAGGTAAATAAAGACAGCAAAGCCAATTGTGTCTCGTATATTTTTTGCAAGCCTAATGTGTATTGGTTGAGATTATACTCAACCTAGTTTCAGCACCTCTTTGATTGCAATTTCGCAAATATTTTTATAGTATAAGTATATGTATTACTAGTAGATGAACAGGTAAAATTTGAATCAAGAAATATATATTTGGCATGATGGCAAATCAGTTAGAGCCAATTGGCAGCTGTGTAATGCACTGATGTTTTGTTGTTTGCCAAAAAAGATTATGTTTGCATTGCCTCAAACCCCGTTTGCTCAGTTCAATAACCATGAAAAACTACATTTTTTGGCCACAAAAAAGGGGCTGATTTGGCCGCAAGTAATGTTGATCAAGTCTGCGAAACTCAAGCGAACTTCCATTACTCTTACCACAGACCCTGTTCAACCACCCAGGACTCCTAGCCGATTAATACTTGGGGAACACGAGAGTAGCCAGGGGAAGTTCAACCTAGAAGGGCACCCTGGTGGGGTGGATTTTTTGAGTGAACGTAAGGGAGTGTAAAGGATTGTTTGCGGAAGACGTGGGAAATGCTAAATTTTCTTATCAAGAGTTGTTTACGGTGCTCTTTGACGTAGAATGGACGTTGAATGCGAGGCCTTTAAACTATGAGTACAACGAAGTGGACGGGAAGGTGTTAACGCCTTCTCATTTAATTTGATCTATGAGCGAAGGATCAAATTTCTTCCAGATGATATCATAGAACCAACTTTGTACCTAGGCTACTGGGTTGCCTCTGGCCATCAGGGATTTTAAACTCTGTCTTTATTTACAATTTCTAATTATAATATGCTTGTATTGGCCTCGAAAGCCCCATAGCGTCTCCACTTAGACAAAATGGATTTAGCTAGTGCATTAACAGAGCCCTAAAATGTTCAATTTCATTAGTTGGCTGCAAGTTAGGCGTTTGGCGCTGCTCTGACCCGCTTGCGGCGTTAAATACACGGTTGTTTGAATAGGATATTACTTTGTTGAGGGAGTGTTGAAGAATGACAATAAACTTAGCCCATGGTCAATTGAACTAACAAATAATTAACGACTTTGCGGCTTTTATCTTTTCATAAATCTAAGTTTGGTCGGTTCTCTAAACTGTGGTCGAGTTTGCAGTTTGGAAACTGCAATTACATAACATATTCCCGATTAGTACCGCGGTAAAGTGTCACTTATAACGCATTCAGTAATCATTGAAGATCAACAACTCCACTTTAGAAAGTAAATTCTGATTGGCCAGTCTCACGCTCCACTAATAAACCCCGGCTCGCGGACATACATAATCGCCTCAGTTTTATAAGCTTTTGATTTTATGCATGCGTTGTAGTGTTGGCGCTCAAGTGTTGTAATTTAATAGTATCATTGTAGATTCATAATTCATATCGTGTATGCAGACCAAAATATGGGCTGCCGATAGGATAAAATGTGCACATTAAGTTAAATTTCGATGGATAATTTGATCAGAAAAATTTTGGCCACGTCTAAATACTCTGCACAGATCATGATTTAAAGCTGAGACACTGAACAGCTACCGGGCATTTACAAATAATCACAGCATACTTCGCTTTTTAAGCATTTTTAAAATAGGTTGTCTGCAAATAACGCGGGCTGTGCGGCAATTCCTTAAATCAAGCCATGAGTTTTCTCATTAGTGATTCGGCTTCCGCCATCGCTTCATCTACATCGACTTGATTATGAGTTCTAGTTATGGTATCCTAACGATAAAAAAAACCGACATTTCGGTGTCATCATGACGCCATTGTCAAGGAGAAATAAAAATAAAGTTTGTGGCAAGGTGTAACACTAAATTAGCATAAATATGTTACGAGCTATTTAAACAAATACTTTTGCGCGAATTGAATCGCTTTGCACGTTCAGAGTGGGTTTTAAGTCTCTGATGAAAAGCATTTCGTTCGAAACTCTCTTCTCTTACCTATATAGGGAAGCAAACTTAAGTGAAGTAGGTACAGTACGGTAGATTTACATGTACTTACCGTCGTTTCCTTCTCAGACTTAGCTGCAAAGTCATGATCTGAGTTTTCAGAATGATGTAGTCTGAATGTCCACGGAACAAACTCTTTTCCCGATGTTGAATGCACACTACAGTGACAGGAATATAAGTCGATTAAAACTTGGGGGATGAGAACTACCTAAGTATCAGCAAGATGAAGAAAGTAGCGACCCCCCTCCTTTAGGAATTTGTAGCTTTTGAGGCGAGTTTCCACAAAGGGATCATAACTTTCGATGCCACTGAGCCTGTCTTCTGAGCTAAAATAAAACTGAAGAAATTTCCATTATTGCTGTCCGATTGAAAATAATCCGAAAAAGCTTTTAATTTACCTTGACAGTTCCTTTTTTAATTCGTTGAACTTCTTTCTCAATACTAATTTCAAAACTAAAAAAAACATTTACTTTCCTTATTCTCTAACACATACGCATCTTCTGATACACATCTGCTTTGACTTGAAATTCATTTTTTTCCAAAGTTTCGCTCCAGATTTAATATATAGTGGCCAGTTTTTTTTTTAACTTTTTGGCAAGTTGGATGGATTTCTAATCTTGTCTGAAGCGACGTAAAATTGAAGTTGTACAGCAAGAGTAACCTTTATAAATCTGTTTTTAAAATTAACTGTCATAAAATCTTTGAATCTAAGCAAGGAATTCGTCTCAAGCTCTGGAATAAAAGTTTAATCACACTTTATACCTGTATCCTTCGAGAGAAACCTGCCTACGTCTAGTTTTAGCATGCTCACGTTTGTAATAATGTAAGCACCCATTGCATAAGGTGACGTATCTCCTATGCCCTGAGGACATAAACCAAAAAGAAAAAAAAAAGCGTTCTATTACATCTTGTTGGTAAAGTTACCAAGTCCTCTAATATAATCTCCTTTAATATTGTTTTACTTAAAGACTCGCCCCTGCTACAACAACGTGTGCACGGTCTTTAGATCTGACACGACGCTCAGGTCACACTTGGTGCGAGGTAAAGATCCCACTGAATTGGCGAAACTTACGGGACGGCTTTGTTTACAAAATCTCATGTAATGTGACAAAAAAAGCAAAAATCAAAGGAAGTGAAAGAGATGTACGGCTTGCTTGCAATCAGAAATCGGCGGTTTCAGATCACTTCAATGAAACAAAACACGTTCCTTTTTAGGACCAAGTTTTGCAGGTTTATTGATCGTGACTCTCATTGCTTCACAAGTACGGTAAAGAAGCCCATCCACATTAAACTTCATCGAGCATGAAGAAGAATTTCAGATGCAGTCTTGCTTGAGTATAGCAAAAGGAGTCGGAAGAACATATGTTTGAGACAAATTTTGGAAGGAGGCCTTTTTCCCTGACAAACCTTGAACAATTCGTTACTATTAGACGTTGCATAGGTATTGCTAAGTCGTGTTTTACAGGATGCGAGTGTTCGAAATATATCACCTTAACAGCGATGCTATAGACTTCCTTACCGACTTAACAGGTCGATTTTTTTTTTTTTAAGTGTCTAAGGCAAAAAATTTTTGATGGCACCTAACTCTTGAGGTTTCCCTCGTAGAAAGAATTAAACTTTTGTGCACTGATCTTTTGAATGTATTTTTAGTATCCACCTGGGAGGCTGTATCTTTATATTTAGGTTCTGTCGATTTTCCAAAATCGAGGCGAGTAAGTTAGCGTTATCCGTAACAACTCTCTATCGCTTTGGACAAACAGACTGTTGAGAAGAAAAGTCCTGAGATTTGCTGAAACTCAGAGTAAACGATCGGAGCAAAAGTTGTGTGCAAATTGAATTGTACTTAGCTTCCGTGATATTCAACAATACAACAAACTTTATGATTCGTTTTCTCCACTCATGCGTGTTACTTGTTGAAAATTGTAAGGTAAAAACGGCGATTTGACAACTGCAAGTCTCAAGCTGGACGAACTCAAAGAGAGACTGTGCGAGATTGAGAGGACAAGAATTTATGTATTTAAAACAGACCAGAATAGCCGAATGGTAGATATCGCGAGTTCATTCGCTTTACTTATTTTGCTCAGTAACACCTGAAGTTTAGATTTGTTGATAACTAAACTAATGAGAGGTGCGGAAAGCTGCTGATCTTGACTCAACCAATTGATCTGAACTTCGGTTGAAGACGATCGCTTAATTGCCTTTGATCTCTTTGGAAGACAAAACAAACAGACCGTTAGGGCTATGCTAAGGGTAACCGCGACCGCCAAATAGAAATGAACCGCCTTACGTTTTATACATGAGCCTCTGGCTCGGGCAATTGGGCAACCATGCCTCACGTATAGACAATAAACTTGATTGATTGATTGACTGATTGATGATGAACGTGAAAACTACAGTGTTTAAGGGAAAATAAATTCGGGACTTTGACAACTGACTGCTAAATACAGGGTGACCACTAAATAGGTTGCCGCTTAATACAGGTTCGAATGTACTCATTTACGTATAAAGCAAAAATAAAGGAAAAGTAATTGAAGTATATGAAAAAATTTTATTCGATATATAATTACTGTCACATTTAAGTCATCGAAGCAGACTTGTAGTTTTAGCATTTAAGGTGAAACTTTCAGAAAACCTTTTTCCTGCTAATTTGATGAAAAAGAAACGTTAAAAGAACGCTCAAAGAACATAACTATGAATGTCACAGTTCTACTCACACAGCTTGTTACTTGATAAACCTTCAGAAGATGTCAGTGTTTTGTCGTCCTCCTTTTTGAGTAACCATCCACATTTTTTTAAGGTGTCTTCAACCGTCCTCAGTTTTGACCCGATCAGGAAAGGTCCGGATTCTTTCCAACGCTTAACTAAAGATAAGGAGGCGATTAGGGCAGCTCGTCAGTGCTATCTCTGTTTTGAGAGGATATTTTCGACTGGTGAGCACTGTATCCCTTCCTGAAAGACACCATTTACTATCCACGCAATGACTGAAATATTCTTCGTTACATGTATGTCCAATTTGTGAATAGACCTTAGTCGTAATGCACAAAGATTTGAAAAATCTCAGGTACTCCGAGAACTTCTCACCAAAGATTGCCTTTCTACACAGACATAAAGCTTCTGCGTCCAAACAGGCGGCCTGCTTACGACGGCAGGACAAAAACATGCATGTGCTATCTTTTAACCAGTCACCTGTTAGAGGAGCATTCATCCTACTTTACTTGTAAACTTTTCTCTCACACAAATCCCGCTGAATGAAACAAGTGGGACGATTGAACAGGAAAGGTTTTGACATTTCGATATTTCCTTGTTATTTCATTACCATTCTTATTTTTACAAAATAATGACAGCGATAATTGACAACAGAAATGAAGATAACAATGGCAATAGGTAAATCATTTGTACCTTTCATTTTTCTTGCAACTATCTTCTTTTCAGATGACTTTTCCCGTGTTTCTTCCATAGTCTCAGTTTTATCCTCGACTTGGATTTCTCTCAGAACGGCTTTGCTTTGATCATTCAATCGGCAAATAGCTTCTTCGGGTGTTTGAATGCCAAGATCATCGATGTTTCCTGCTTGGAAAGCTTCGTCAGTAACCAGGATTTCAGTGTCATCACAATCTCCCATGGTCGAGTTGCCCCTGTCTTCTGAGGAATTGCGTGAAAAATAAACTAAGCAAGTACCCTGTGGTCGAAATCCACAACCAAACGAGACTCGCACTTTTACTAGCGATTCGCTAAAAGGCAATGTACATAAACAAGTTAAATATACAGAACAAGAAAGCAAAACGAAATACAAATAAAACAGGCAAAATGACGGACAAAATAACGAAACTTACAAGACTATGTGGCGACTACGACGACTAAAACACAATGACAACGGCGACAAGAAAACCACGGTAGAAGAAGCTATGCCAAACAATAGGAACAATGCATAAAAAATGAACACGAAAATATGAAATGTGACGTAACCAAAAATGACTTGCGAACCTAATAAAATAACAAATATGCACGAAACAACCGAAAACGGAAAACAATGTTCAAAAGGCGTTAAATTGTAACCGAAGGTGAGGCGTCGTGACTACAACCCTGTCTTAACTATCCAACCGATACATATTTAACAAACAGGTGGAAGAGATGAGAAAGAATAAGTGAATACAATGGATAGTTTAGTGATAACCGCTTTTCGAACGAAATTTTAATCAGATGAAAAAGATTACATTAATGATTTCATTAAAAGGACTACCAATAGTTTAAAGCAATTTTGCATAAAAATATGTGTCATTATGTTATGTTTGTAAATAAAATATATCGAAGAAATTAAAAATCTAATGAATTTGTTTAGGCCAAAAGAGCATTAATAGCAAAAAAAGTATCTGAGTTAGCCATTTGCTATTTGTGCTTGAAAACGATTTAGTGATAGCATGTTATATTTTCGATAACCTCTGCTGAATTTTGTCACCGAAAGCCAATAAGGTGCGTATAGCAAACATACTGAAATCATCTACCAAGACGGGTTTTTCAAAGATGGGTCAAGGTAACCCAAGGTTAGTGTGAAATCTGATTTCATTTCTGAAAGGTTAAAAATATATTTAAAAATGACTATTTTGTCTGCAATTGGATGACGAGATGCTTTAAAACGAATTGAGAAATTGTTCCAGAGGGGCTCTCGAACAAAATAATAAAGAAATTCGACCTTGGGTTAGCGCTAATCAGTCTTCAAACAATTGGACCCGCCCAAGTCTATACTTATCCCATTAGCCAGTATTATTACCAACTTACGAAAATTGTTTGAGAGATGCTCTTTACACGCCAAATAGTCCTCTTCCAGTATGCTTGTTTCTAAAGTAGCAGACTCAACATGAAATTTGTTTTTAATATCATCTGTCAGAAGACACTTTTCGGCCATCCAATTTAGACGACCGGAACGATAATCGGACCACAGACGTTCAAGACTTTCCAGATCTCGGCATTCGATGGAAAATCGTAAACTGCTGTCACGGTCTTTTGTTGGTCCTGGATCTTGAGCAACTGATACATGTTCAAGGTAGGTTGGTAGTTCGGTTAAAGAACTTTGAGAAGTCGACTTTTCCTCAGATGATATTTCAGACACCAGATATGGGCTTTCTTTCTCTTGTTGTGGGTGAAATTCATTTGGGCTTGCTGAACAACCGCTGTCTACGATGTTATCAAAGGTGGATGTATGTAAAAAGAAAATTTACGTTTCTATCTTACTTAAATAGGCATCTAAGTAAAGCCAATTTTCTAACTTTGATTATTGTCTGACCTTTGATCTAAACAAGCTTGTTTTGGAACCAGTATATCTAATCATAAAGTGACCGTGAAATTGTCAAAACCTTTATGTAACAATTTTCAGTTTTACGGTCTCTAAAAGATGCTATGCTATCATGCTGAGATTTACTAACAAAAATGAATTCTACAATTACATGTCTATTTGAATTGTCCATGTTCTCACTTACAGTTTAACTCAAAGTGCACTGTGGTGAGTTCACGTTCTTCTTCGACCTGAACGACCACAGTTTGTATATTCGCTCGTTCAGTTTGATCTTCTGCAACTGTTGCGTCTTGGTTCAAATCTACTCGGTGGTATCAAAGAAAATAACAGTAACAAAGATTAATATGAAACCATGAGATGTTTCTCCTCCCTTTACAAAAATATTTATTAAAAATCATGGACACACTAAGTACTGTTTATAACTCTATCATTCCCACGATAATGCTAATCCTCGATATTTTTTGTATTTTATCGGTGTACGATTTGAGCTGTAACTTTAGAATCTCTGACAATTATGTACAATCTTTGGCGCTCGATCTTCGACCCTTGACAAGTAGGTAAGCTCACTTCACACGACTGACACTGAGACACTTCCGACTTTAGCAAACGTCTTCATCAATTACGATATCCTAAATCAATGTAAGTGATTATTCTTTTCTTATGAGCCTCACGCCTTCTTTCAGATCTTTCATTTCTCTCCGACCTAACAATATTTGTATTTCAATGGTGGCAATAGTGAAGTTAAAATTAAGACTAAATATGCAAAAATGTCTTTTCCTTCTCATCTTGTTACCTTGTTTGCTTGCCTTTTTTTTTCTAGCTTTTTTGTTAATGTTTATGTCAGACAAAGTCAAAGTCAGGAGGAGGATTGTGATAAAATCACTGATTGTGAGTGTACACGCAGATACTCAACAACGCTTTCTTCTGGTAACAATATACAGGAATAATAGGTGATAAATTTTTGTCCACTCGTAAAGGATGAGCTTTGAAAGATTTTGGTGAAATTATAAAAATTCTAGGGAGGAAAAAAGGGTCCCAGACTTTCTTTACCTACGTGCAGTTTTGTTTTAACGCTTACGTTCCATTTAACTAACGGCTTCGCTCGAAAAACTCTCAACTTCATATTAGCCTGTACGTCTTGACCTCGAGCCAAATATTTTCCTGCCCGGCCCTCTCACTCAGTCAATAAGTACATATTATCGTACGACCCGTCCTACCTTGCTCGGGCAATCCCATAGAAAAACATTGTGAAGACTGACGTTTGCAGGACCGGACGAGTTGACGTGAGCCTGTCAGTTAGTAAGTCCGCCAACCAGCGGTCAGCAAGTCAGTCAGTAAATCAGTCAGCCAGTCAATAAGTACATATTAACAGTTTTCTTAGGGTGTTTTAACTATTATGTGAAATACCTGTAAGTGATAGTTTACATGCCAGGTAATCCTCCACAGTAATGGTCGTTTCCAGCGCTATTGATTCCACTTCGTACTTTTTCCTTATCTCATCCGTTAAAAGGCGTTCTTCCGCTACTTCATTAAGGTGACCGGAACTATAGTCTTCCCACAGACGTTCAAGAATTTTCAGTGTCCTACATTCGAGTACAATTCGCAAGCTGCCCTCGCCTGCTTCTCTTATCATCAAGTCACGCACTCCTTTTAGATAGTAAGAAAGGGAGTCAGGGTATTGTTCGAGAGGGATTTCAGCTTGATGTTTCTCGAGGAAATGCTTGGTCATTTCACGCATTATGAGACGTTTGGCTTCTTCTTGTTGTACAGGATCTTTGTTCTTCACGTTTTGAAATGTAACACTGTTCAGCTTTATGCGAATCGGCACTGTACCTAAGGCTGAATGAGCGCTGACTTCCAGAAGGCCAGGCGAAAGCACAGTTAGAACGTTACCTTCTAAAAACTATCGCTTTCTTCAACTGAAGAAAGCAGCTGGAAGAGAATAGAGACGTACTCATTGCCTAACGAAAGTCTGGAATACCTGCGAAACAAAGAAATTTAAAGGCGACGAGAAAAAAAAATGAAAGATAAAGCTAGAGAAAGAAATGACGATTGGTTTAATAACTAAACGGTAATACTCTGGTATATTTCAACATATTCATTTCATTTGTTAACCCGTACTTTTCCACTTTAAAGAAATGATCGACTTCCTTTGATAATCTCCGGTAAAATAGTTAAGCCACTAGGCATAGCTATAATATGTATGTGAAATTGGACCTATAGTGATTGCAATGAATAGAGATATTTCTATTATATCTGTAGTAGGAATTTGGAGGACCATTTCAGTGCCACTCTTGAAGACAAAATCTAATTAATTACCCCATTCGCTTTCCTGGACACTTCACTGCTTCAAACTGATAAATCAGAATTGAGTGTTAGGTACCAGTCTCCAGAATATCAGTTATTATAACAGCTTTTTCTTATTATTGTCATTATCAGTATCATTATTATTATTTATATATATATACTTTTATAGGAACGGAGTGCTTAGAGAGTATGGTACCTGAATAAAGGCCGTTAGTGACTTCCTTCTGATAAGACAATGTGGACTTTTCTGCTACACCCCGACAGGTTCCAGATGTGTCCAAATGAAGAATATGTGACATTTTTATTATTTTTAAGGAACTTCGTGTTTTGCATAATTTTGGTTAATTTGTTGCTTGTTTAAAAGAAACGAGCCTATGAGGGTTTCAACCATTACGAAAATACCGGCACTTCTGAATGAGCAATATGTTTTATTTAATGTTTCATTCTATTTGTTTTTTGAAGGCATTTCAATAATTCAATCCGAGTACTGTATGTGATCTGAATATCAAAAACCAGTCACATTTTTGTTTGTTTTCGACTTTTGTTTATGAACGGGAAGCGCAAAAAAAAGGGTATTACCTGGGTAAAATCCGTCGCTGATATCCTCTTGTCGGAGCTCTGGGGAATTTCTTGTTGAGCTCTGACAATCTTCAGATGGTCCTAAGGAAGAATTTGTTTAAGCTGTGCAGTATATTGCAGGGGTTCAGTTAAGTAGCCGCTGTTACAAAATTTTCTAAACGAGCCCATAAAGGTTTCATACATCTCTCGATGCCAAAAATCAATCCTTCTCAATACAGTGTGTTAAGAGTGACAACCCTAAGGATGGCTATCTCTACTCAAGGGTACGATGAGGACTTGCTAGGGAAACGAGAAAAGATATCTGGCGGTGAGAGTCGATTGGCAAGCATCCCACTGAGAGTTAACTAAAATATTTATAGCTATTTAGTGCTACGGTAGCCCAGAAAAGCTTCAATGGCTTGGTCTTTTGACTTGTAAAGAAAATTTGAGGAAAATAAAATTCAGTTTGGTGACAGACGATAGAGAAACTGGAAACTATTTGGAGGCGCAACGGACTACTTTTTGGTATAACAAAGGATCTCTACTAGGTTTACTTCCATACCGTTAGCAGTCATGCTGATCATTTCCCCAATGAAACATTCACTCTGTTTTTTCCAACAGTACGTCTTCCGGTACAACTTTCGCAGTATTTCACACTCCTCCAGTCGGCTGCTTCTGTCGCTGCTGCAGACTTCCTCAATTGCTTTGGCCCACTGATCTTGATCATCTGAGTCAATCACAAAATGCCGGCCAAATGGTATTTTCATCAAAGCTTCTCCAAATTCTGATTTTCGACTTACACGAATAGGAAGACCAGCTGATAAGGCTTCAAGACCCGTTAACCCAAAGCCTTCGGTTCGCGAGGGCATAACTACGAGATCTGCCTCGCAAAATAGCTTTTTCAAATCATCCCTGCTATTTAAAAACGGTCGTACCCTTAGCCGGCTGGAAGGGATATCACAATCGAGGAAAAGTTTTTGTGTACTTTCTAGGTTTTCCTTCGCCGCCCCAACAAATAACAGATGACAATAACTCAGTTTAGCCACAGCTCTAGCTGCAATGTCGAATCCTTTTAATCTAAAGCCCTCCGAATCTCCACGACCAAAACCCAAGACTTTACAAACTTCTCGTTTGTCTAGACCTTGATTCAGTTCAGAGAATTCTGTTAAAATTCCAGGGGTAAATTCAAGGAGACATTGTTCCTTCTTGCATGAGGCGAGATAAGAATTTAACGTTTTGTACAACTTAGGGCCAACTGGTACAACGAAGTCAGTCAGCTCGCAAAGTTCTACCTCAGTCTGTTTCATGCTTTTTATGAGCATTCGAAATTGGACTGGCACATTCTTTATAAGTCTCTAGTTCTTCAGGGTCTGTATGAACAACCTGAACCATTGACATTTGTGGGAATCCTTAATAATTTGTGCCTGATGGCCAAGTTTAACACCATTTCCAACAACTATGTCGATTGGCAAATCTTTCGGTGGAAAGCTGAGGCATTGCAGTTCATCGAAGCCGGGCCGCCTTACTGCCTTTACAAGTTCTACTTTGTGACTATGAGCTGCTTTCTTGTTCTCGTCATTGCAGCTTGAACGAAGTAACTGACCTCAGCTGTTGGGTCCTTCGCAATGTTTATTGCAAATTCCCTGTTTAAGGCGGAGAGGCCTCCTTTGCTTGATCCCCATTCTGATGCCAGGAAAGTAACTCTAAGCCTTCTTGATAATGAGCAGCGTCTGCTGTAACTGTTGCTGTCCTCTTCATTTGGAATATGACCAGAGTTTGATGCTTTTGCCTCCTTGAACTAGAATAAAAGCCGGTTATAATAAAATATCTCAAAGAACTACTTCCATATCAGTGGCCTGATTTTAGAAGATATTCACCTAATAAGATCCAGAGGGAAAAGCGGTTGTTTAACAAACATCTCCTGAGTGAATTATCACTACAAATCTTAATTTTCCTTTTGACACTTGCTAGAATATGCATACTGAGAATCATGCCATTGTAGAGTTGGGCCATCACACTTCTATAGCTGCCCATTAGCAGCCATACACGTCAGTCAATAGAATTTTCATTATAAATATTCTGTTGAATATTTTGACTGCTACAGCATGAAAATCCAGCTCAATCTCTTACCATCTGTTCTTTGATTTATTAGTATGAAACCCAAATGAATAAAAATCTCTCTTTAGCCTGGTGATATAGTACTAATCTCTAGACTGCACAGGATATTTCTTTCTTCGCTGCCTGTTTTGAGTGACAGTGTGTTCTGGATGGTTGAAGAAGTTGGATTTTAAGCAGAAATCGCCAAAAATTCTTTCCAATTTCAGCTGGACTCGAACGACGATACTACGCTAGAAAAAGGAGGTTTTTATTATGCCAGAAAGAAAAACCAACCAAAAACCCTATTGTCGAAAGGTTGACTCAAGTAGCAGATTGGTTAACCAAAGTCAGTTATATGCAAAGAAACCACAGGGTGTGCTCATATAACAAGGAGCTTGGTTAGTAAACTCCACGAGACGATTGCGATCATGATTTTCCGTAAACCAATGTTTCGCAAGCTGTTTGTGTTTTCCGAATCATGATTTCTGAACCGATAAATCAGATAAAAATGACACGGGCCGAGCCAAAACTCCCTAATTCAAGTATCAAGCCATGAGTTTTCGAATTAGTGATTCAGCTTTGGCCATCATTTCGTTGCGCTTGAATAAATCACAAGTTCTAGTCGGGACCCTGCTTATGTCTGTTACAGCTTCAAAATCCACTGATATCTTTTTACGCTTTGAAGGCAAATCGTGTTTGACTATTTCACGTCGAATTTTTCTGGGTTTGTCCATAGAAAGATCGAAGGCAGTTGCGCATGGGACATCCGTTCTCCTCCCCGGCGAGATGTGATTTCCACAAATACTTGTGTTAGCCGAAATCTCTTTGAGGTTATCGTTTCTTAAAAGCCTTTTATATTCTTTTAAGACAGCTTTCTCTTTGGGAAGAGAATGATACTTCACTCCAGGGGAATTTCGCCAAGAATTCACACAGGTTGGGACACAGCAGTTACGTTTTCCCATGCTGAATTTGTCATTTACAACCTACAGTTCGACATCTGCCATGCTTTTCCACGTCCCCCAAAACAACCCCAGCATTCCACGCAAGCCAAACTAGTTTCCAGGACTATTTTGAATTTCGGAACGGACAATTAAGGGAAGGTCAGTTATGGTTTATTCAATTCTAATACTTTTCCTCTGCCCTAGTAGCAATACGTTTTGTGTGTGACTATTGAAGGTGGCGTTGCGTCCTTTCAAATTAAGGAGATGGTGATGTAATGTATATTGACGCTACGTTGTCACTATGATTTTCCCGTGGACTAACATGACAGAATGGCCCAGGCATCATGTGTGAGAATTTTTGGATGAGTACGTTTTGCGCTCGTGACCAAATGGCGCGGACGGATTTCAAAATAATGGTGAAAGAGAACATATGTAATTGGAAAGGTCATTATAAATTTCATTTAATCAAGGTTCACACTGAGTTTTTGAGAAGGTGCAACATTACCTAGCATCAACAATGACGCAAACTCTACGATTTTAAACAATATATTTGAGACAAAGAGTTTTTGAGATTCCCCCTCCCCCACCCCTCTCTCGTTCAGAGATTTCCATAACGGCGACCGAAAGACTTAAAATCTGTACCAGGTCCAGTAACATACATTTTGGCAGAAAGTACGCCAATAAAACAACGGAAGCCTCTCTCTACTTTGCTGATTAGTCAACTTTTTCCACGGGGATAGCCAGAAGAAAAACGTCGCATATTTTCGTTTGGCAGAGGATCGTTGTAGTCCTATAGCCGTATTTGTTGGCATGGATACGTATCTTTGTACCACCTCCATCAATAAATTGAAATTAGATCAACGAGAATGCAATTTTTATGACGTAATAATAAATAAAAAAGCATAGATCACCAAACTCGTTCAGTAGTTACAGGCGCATAAGATATCGAATGGAAAATATAGCTTTATTTCAAAATTTCAAAAAGGTTCAAATGTAGCTAATTATCAAAATATAAAATTATTTTACTCGTATTTCTCTGACTACGTAAAATAAATCATAAGTTAGGTACGATTTAATGTTCAATACAATTCAGGAGAATGATCATCGATTACATTGCGAAGACAAAAGTAAATGATAACCAAATACGCGATGCTTGATTCTATTAACTCCAGTAAAAAATTTGACCCACTTAACTTTCAAGGAAATTTTTTTTCAAGGTATATCAACAGTTGGCATCAACCATCTGTATGCATCAAAGCAAAATTCGGATTAATTGTCAATTGTACTGTACAGTTGCTAGTTTAAAAAGAATTCAATAAAAATTTACGTTCATTCTTTCCACATAATTAGCAAAATGTTAACGTAAATCTCTGTTATGGTGTCTTATTTCCAACACAATGCACTGCATATTGGTTTGAAGTTGCCATTATATTGGCGTTTGCTATGCAGCAAAAGCGGAACCAGCCCACAAATTGGTATAGAATATTTTAATCTACATTGAAGTCCTTGTTTCGCATTCATGAAGACTATTTGAAGACAATTATGAGCAGATATTTCTCCCACTTTATGAGATTCTATTAACATTATAATCCTTCTACTACATTTTCCTAATTTCAAAACATAAAGTTAACACCATATACCTGCTAGGAGTAGCAAAAGCCGTCAGTGCACAACAACTAACGATCATCTATTATAAGAACTTAGATAAGTCCAGTACCTAAACTAGAAGAAGATGAGGCTTTTTAAATACCACAGGGGATTTACTTTTGTTAATTTTATACCCTTCTCTGGGAACATATTAAGTAGCTATCTTTATATCTATGTATTTTGAGGAAGTATTCTGTCTAAAAAATAAACAAACTTACTGGAGAAAATTTAGGAAGTCGCAAAATTGTCCAATTGTTTCACTTCAAAATACAAGGTAAAGGAATTGTCATCACTACAAAGCTCTGAGGAATATTCGAGGTTATTGTCAGAGCCTCGCCTAGAATCGTATCGTTTCATGTTGAATTTGCAATAATTTTGATATAAAATTAAAGTCTGGCCTTCGCAAAACACCAACCGCTTGATAACACCCCACACGATTAATTAGCACCTTCAGCTAATACGATAATGAATTTAACAGATGAAGGATATGGTCGACTCTGACTGGTTACTCCATGGTCCTCTATTTGATGTTGGCCTATAGTCCAATCAAATCATGTCTATTTATAGGGCGCTTTAAGTTTCACGTCACATCTTGGTAAGGTGAAGTCGTAGAAGTGTTTTAAAAGGTCCTCAATTGTTTTACATCGCACGCCCTCAGGATCAAGAGCATAGCCCTTCTGCAAAAATATCACAACGCAGATATGCGGGTAAGGGTTCATTGTGGATTGTGCGTCCAGACTGCCATATGAATAAGAATTTACAAGAAACAAAGTAAAAAAAGCTTAGCAGACGTAGAATTAACAACATACCTCATCCTGAAACACCATGTAGTGTCGTACTCGATCTCCAGTCCACACGGACAGAGCCTGCATGAAAACAAAACAAACATAAAGAAGTAAATAAAAAAATAATTTTTCCTCGAACTTGGAAATACTACTTTGTGAAGTGTGAAAAGCAAGATGCTGAAAAGGCGATTACAGTTTCTTGTTTGAACAAGATTTGAGAGACAGACCTGTTTTATTGATGTATGGTTTTCTTGGACTGTACTGATAGATTAAATTCACTCTTTGACTGAGCTCCCACTGCTTGCACGTTTGTAATTATTCCCCGTACTCTTATAAGTCATGTTACCATATACAAATCATTAACGGTCGATGTAAACAATCTACGGTGTTCAGACTCTGAAGTACACGAGTTTTGTATGATTAAAAATCATTTTAAACGTTGCGTTTACCCGCTCTGACTGTGCGTTCTGACTTTTACGCAATATGTAGACTCCGAGTTTATTTTCCAAGAGACTGCGGGAAAAAACAGTTAGAAATAAACATTAAAACACGAAAACAGTAACAAGCCCTGCAATCACGACTACTATATTAGACCACGAAAACCGTACTCTCCACTCTCGATCAAAGACCTATTTCTGTTGATATGTGCTCCGCGAATAAGGAGTTCGCTTTATCAGGATTCAGTTGTTCTTTTGCCTGAGGCATATTTGGCTACATAACCAATAAAACGACTTTATATTGATCGGTTTCAGTAGAAAACAGGCAATAGAAGAGAATAAAAGAAAAAAATTAGCAAATTCAAATTGTACTTAGAGATCAAATAGCTTCCAACTCATAGTGGGTCATATCAGAAACCCCGCTTACATAAGTAAATGTCAATAACATAAATGAAAAGATGGGTACTTTTTCGATTTCATTACAAGTATTTTCACAAGCATTTTACAAATAACCTCCATAAAAGGTTTCAGTGAAGTACTTACGCCCCAACTTGGATCTTGTCCACGTCGAGTTTCACAGCCGAGGAAGGAAGAACTCCCTGGAACAATAAAATGAAGGTGGTAAATTAACAAAACGATTGTCCTGTATTTCGAAAGCCTGTGAACACGTGAAACTACAGTGTGTCACAAAATTACGCTGATAGAAACTGGAATTTATACACTTGGCAGTGAATGATCAGTCACAAGAGATTATAATCTCTATCCATCGCCATATACCAAGTGTCAGCAAAATAACTTCACATTAGGGAGGTGGGGTGGGGAGTGGTGCAGGGGGAACGACGGAATGATTATTCCAAAGTCCTTTGGATTGAGGAAAGCAGAGCCTGATGGACTACAAATCAAAATTAAAGCCCCAGGTTAAATAAGTATTAAGCCTGGCAACGTTAAGATCTTGGAAAAAAACACTTCCTCATAGTACCCCCGTTGGTACATGTGTACCCACGAGTCACGAGCTGCTTACGCACTGTGCAGGGGGGTGGGGTGGGTAAGCTACGATTGAATAGCATTCAGGGGAATCACCAACACTCATTAAGCTATAGGATCCGGAGTTTATGGATTTTAGGACTCTATTCAGCATTCTAGAGACGACATTACAAACAATGAAACACAAGCTTTGTAAGATTACTGACGCTCAACTAGGTCTGAAAATCATAGAAAATAAATGGTTCCATACTCACCTCATTGTGATGCCGTCGGATGCTTCGTCCATCAGGATATCCCCTAAAGCCAACAGAGAAAACAACACTAAGATTAAAAAGCGGCATAGTCAACGTTACCCTTTAGCTACTAGTACCACATACTGGTAAAACCACTTCTTTACTGGTAACACCATTTTCTGAGTTGCAACTTTAAGTAACAATTTACAAAAAAGGAATCAACAACTCGTCCCGTTCCGTAAACTGAGTAACCGATTACTGTAGGCTAAGAACAAAGGGGGCATTTTTCAAGATTTCTGTTATCTTAGGATTGATCGTAATTACTATAGCGTGACTTCTTTACCTTAACATGGCTGAAATTACTCTGCAAGAAGTATTTGAAGATCTGAGTCAAAACTGAATCGTCATACTGGTCCAAACCAAAAAAAGGAAAAACTTAGCTATTATTTTATTTGAACCCCTTATACAATTTAGTCTATTTTTAAGATGTACAGGTATCCGTTTACCGGTATCTTAATGATTTTGTACAACAAATATTAGACACTCAAAAAGGCTTCTGTATTTTTATGCAGCAAGACTAGACCAGTCACGGTATAATTTATATAATACTTAATAGCAACAATGAGGTGTTGAAATTTCCATATCAGGAGGGTTCAAGAGCATCAAGAGTACAAGTATCCTTTCTACTAGTGAAAAAAGCAGACCGCAAAAAAAAAAAAATTAGGGCTACGGGAATCTCTTCTTCCCCTCTCCAAAATCCCTCCCCTCTTTTCTTTGCTTTTTCTACATGCCTGTTTACTAGCTGTCACATCAAGCCTGGAGCAGTAAGGGTACACCTAGCTCTATTAAAAACAAGGTAACTCTTAAGTAGATGTTTAAGAGGCTTATGTACATTAGCTGATGAATGCCAGTGATTGTTACTTAATGATTCAATGTGTCTCCTTTTGTAAGAGATCCCAAAAATAAAATACACAAAGCTCTTAATAACAATCAAAAAGAGCAATGTAGAGGAAAATGTAGCTCCCCTCAATTAGAAGCTTCATAAATATAGAAAAGTTTCTGTTATCCTGCACAGAAATTACACTCCATTGATAGAGAATGATGGCAAAGGAAGGTGCTTCTTACTGGACAGACCTTGACAAGGTGGACTGCTTGTCATTGACATCTTCAGGATTTGTGTCTGGAACTATGTCCAAGTAACCTTCACCTTCTTCTTCTTCTTGGTCTAAACATAATTCAATATTAACACAGTTATCAACAAAATTTGATTACAATAATCTTCAAATTCAAACCCTAAGAACCCAATAAGATTTTAATTATAAATATAAATCAATAAAACAAGATTATAAAGCACAGGATTATCCATTTGTTGTTGAGAGATCCTCAGCCAGGACAAGATAAAAGCTAAGTCAGCAGTGAGAAGCTGTTCAAAAGTCAATAAAAACATTGCAAGAACAGAACGATTCAATTTTACCTCCCCATAGATAGGTGTGATAAGGATGATTGCAATGGACTTAATAGATTGGATGAACTAGCTGAGACAATAACAGACACATAATGCCATACTTTAGTTACTTCAGACAATGTGCAGTACCTCCACAGGGCGAAGATGGAAACCTCGTTATGGGTTCGGTGGTATGCCGCATCAGAGGTGGTGGTCGAGGTAGTGGTTTAGGAGGTGCTAGTGGTTTTCCCATCCTTGAAGGTACAGCAGGAGGCTCATTTATTTTGCGGGGGAAACCAGGACTTGCCACCTGAGGAGATTGCCTGACTGCCCCTATTGAAGCAGCTCCCTGGCCTGGCATGGGAGCTGGGCTACCAGTGTAGCTGAACCCCCCTCTAACTGGCTTAGGTGAAGGAAATGCAGGTCTTTGAAGAGGAAGGGGCTTTCTTTGCACTTGTGAAGAGTCCATTTCAGGGGGTGGACAGTACAATGCATCTGATGTACATAGTGGTTGAGGTTTTCCAAACATTGCTGCTAATTGTTGCATGTCAAATTTAGGTTGTACTTCTGGATAGCAATACTCCAGGTCTGAATTATCATTTGGCTCAACACTGCGTGAACAACAAAAAAAGAAATGCATTATAAGAGCTTACTTTGCACCAATTTATTAACCTTAAATCCCTAGGAGTGACTAGCGTCTAATTTTACCTAACATTATCACCCCCCTAAATCAAACATTTACATCACAAGGATAATGGAAAAGCTTTTGAATGAAGAGGCTCTTGATTATCAGGAAAATTCTTCCTTTGAGTACTAAAGAAAATCTGCAGAGAACAGTATTGTGAGACTATTAGCCTTCTGATGTTAGAATCGTGTCTCAATTCTCAATTTTGATGATACTTTTTCAGAGAATTAGGTCCAGCATCATTTTAATAAAATGACACTCAGGACATCGTTATCACCTTTAAACAATAATTATTTTTACAATAAACCTGCTCAATTAGTTACAAAAATTGTTACAATTTGGGTCTCTTAAGGACACTCACATGTTTTGTCTTCCTGTCCCACAGTATTCTCTCATATCACTTATTATACTGTCCATCCATTCCTACAAAAAGAATTGAGCAGCAAATTGAAAACTTTTTCTGAGAGCAAACTTGGCAACACTTATAATTATAAGAAACCATTGTGAAGGTGGCTGATGCAGTGGCCATTGGTGAATGTGAAGAGTTTACCGCTATACTACCGTACAGTAGTCCATTCAGGCCAGAGGACTGCTAACAGGCTCAGAGAGGAGCTGGCCATGTTGTTGAATGATTCAGACATTCTTCTGACATGCTGACATTCATGTTTAGACTTCAATTGCTGTATTAGTCCACAACAACTAGCTTACTTGTATTTTTCACTCATTTAAAACAACTCCTTCCTCACTATTGCCTATTGAACAAGTTAAAACAGTACTGTTTCTTCAGAATGCAAACTTCAAGGAATGAGGGCTGGAAGGTAATGGTTAAGGAGAGCAAGAAGAACCTTTCTGACTTAAATACATCTTTTTGGCAAACTTCATTCCTCGGCTTGGGACTCAAGTTTTGGAAATGGGGGAGGACTCGCAGCCACTCCCTAGATTTCCCACAGCTCCAAACTCTTAATTTCATTTTCCAAATCAAACACAATCTATTGTGGACAGAAGTCACGCCTAAAAGGCTCTCCAAGGAGGTTATATGAAACCAAAGGATAAAATACTCCCTCACAGTGCTAGCAAGAAAAAGCACTACGTATAAAGAAAAAGGTTTAACTGAATAGCTTGTGAACCATTTCATTCCCAGGAGTAACTGACAAGAGTTACCCCTGTCACTCCTAAGATCTCATTAGTATTTCTCCTCACTGTCTGCCACACAATTCTGTAATGTTGGTTTGGAGAATTTGGTATTGGATCAACTGATGATCCCCTTGTTCATATTTTTCTTTATTCTCATCACTTGCCTGCTTGATATTCAGAACAGTATGGAGAATATGCATACGGATGTTATGGTGTCAAGGGATACGAAGGTAACAAAAGAAAAACTATTGCTAGAACTCATCAGAGAATCTACTCACTACATTCACAGGGTGTCAAGGGCTTTAGGGGTCCAAAAATATAGGAATATGGGACTCGACGACCTGAAAATATAGAACAAAACCCGCCAAAACGGCAAAAATATAGGACCAATTTGACAGTAACTTATAGAACCAACCTAAAGTTCTTTACTTTTTAGACACTCTAGATGTACGGATTTAATATGTTGCCAAATTAAGCAATTTGCTTTCTGAGGTGTTGCTGACAGATCTTTGTGACAAAAATCTCTTGGATTGTGGATTTTGAATGCCAATACAATGTTTACTTCTTTTTTCTAAATATTTCTTTTTAAATATTTTTTTGGAAAAGAAGGCTTAAAACATAAGAAAACATAGGATTTTTCCTCAATCTATAGGACTTTATAGGACAAGTCTGAAAAAATAAGATTTTATAGGATTTTATAGGAATATAGGACTCGATTGACACCCTGCATTCAACATGAATTAAAAATGAATGCATGCACTGTTTCTCAAACAAAGAAATGTACTTACAGTCATTTCTTGTTCAGAATAAGCAGCAAAGTAGTAAGTCCTTTTTTCTGGTTGTAAATGAACTAGTTTAAAAGTCCATGGAAATTTGGAAGTTTTCTCCGGTGCAGGGGACAACCTAAAATAAGATATGGATAAAAATATTAGTCTACAAACATGTACATTTTCAGGGGCTTTCCAAAGTAACAATTATATTTAACTTTTCATTATTCAAAATTATTTAGTAGCTGGATGTATTTTCTTGTCATGGTCACAGGTTTTTCAAAAGTCTAAACAACTATAATAGAGAGTTTTTCTCTGTTCAATCTTTTTCCAGGTGGAGTAGGAACTCTACATTAGCATCCATCACCTGACTGAAAATTTTGTTTTCATTAAAACATACCTGTATCCACTGAGGGAAAACTTGCCATTTGTGGTTTTAGCATCCGAAGTATTGTAATAATACAGGGAGCCTTTGTGCAAGATGACATATCTGTCTCGCCCTGTAAATACACAAAAATATTGAATTACTCTCAAGCTACATAAGGGCTAGCCATCTTTCAAACTCCACTTCATGAACTCTCCACTTCATGAGCCTTACAAACATTGCTTTATGCAGCAGTACCAAAAGAGAGGCACACCAACAAGTGCAATAGTATCTGATAGAAGTACACAAATAAAAACATTTACTTATGTACACAGAGATTATTTTCTAAATTGTCGCTCTAAAGATACTGAAAGTTCCGATATCTCATATAGTACACATCATCATATCTTTTAATTGTTCTTTTTGCACACCAATAAGTGTGGTAGTATCCAACAGAAAGGTACAATTGTGCAAGAGTACAAAAAAATATAAAACAATACTACAGTATAACCATAGGTAAAGCATTATCCCACCACCCTTATTTAACCATGCATTTTTATCATGGCAATTTTGATTAAGGAAAGAGGAGAGTGAAGATTGCTCATTAGAAACTGGAGCTCATCAAAGGCTGATGCTCTAGATGGCAGGCCATTTAGATAGAAGGGCTTCATATGGAGAGATCTGTAATAAAAGATTCCATATGAAGTCACTAAAATTAAAAAATTACACATGACGCAAGATAAAGGGACTCACATGATTTTACACTTCCACCCTCTTTCCTTATCCAACCACATTTGCTACAGTTGTCTTTGAGCAGTTCTTGTGCAGGTATGGATTGGAAAGGTTCAGGTCCCTGTTGATGCATGTCTAACGATGACCATTTCCTTCCATCTTCGGCAAGGAATGTACCAGTGTTAGCTGGAAGTGTTGCATTCAAGCGGTGTGGGGTAGTGGCCATTTATTTATTTCAATTTTATACCATCATCATATATAAGTATCTATGAAAAAAAAGGTTAATAAACATTGACCAAAACTGGAAATTGGACAAGAAAAGAAACACCACATCCTTGACCCAGTACCAAACTTGCAAGAACTGTTAATAAATTCACCTAGCTACCCTGTCCAATCAATGACACTGTGAGGTTGTAAACCCACTGTAAAGTTCTTTGCAAATAGAACAATTTTCAACGGAGTGTTAAAATTAACCCAGCCTAGATCATGTTCATTTTGTTAACTTTGTTTTCTAATTTGTCATTCAGAACACTCGCACCAATATCTGAACTTATCCAATTCAAAACTTAAACCTGTTATGATCTGTTGCTTCATGTTTTCAGGTATTCAGAGAGTTAACAGGTTTTTACTTAGAGCTCTGATCTACTAAATTATAATTGTTTCCCTCTCGACTATTTTCTTTCTCCCTGCTAATGAAAATAATTTTCCATTCTCTCATAGTGGCTACTTTTAAGTGGTTTTACTGTTAGAACACTCCATTTATAAGTGCTCTAATGAGATAACCTGGTGATATTTCAAGGCAACAGTCTTTTAACTCAGGAGTTCGTCCCCCGATTTATCACCTATTGAACATTGATTGGTTTAATTCTATGATGAAAATCCTGATCGCGCATAATAATAGTATGGTCAATTAACTTTGTTTTAATAATAATTAATATGTATCGGTAATGATTATCGCTCATCCATTTGACTAACCAGCCTGGACCTGCCTTTTCATTTCCCAAATAAACCCTTTTTATGTCCTAACCCAATCCCAATACAATTTCATTGCAAGGTTCTATTCACTGAGCACCCCAAGAGTAGCAAAAAGTTTAATCACAGTTTTGTTTTCGCCAAAGTCCAGCCATTAACTGGGAAGACAATATTATCTATTCTTCCCGAAATCACGCATGACCACTCTGTGTATGTAAACTACAAAACCCGGTCTTACGCTCGACACAGGTATTTGATATCTATTCAACTTAAACTGTTACCAAACTTCAGATCGAATGCAGAGTGTAGACAGAAACGATTTATCATTAAATACAAGGACTGTGATAAACGTTTGAGTTTTTCTCTGTCGATAACGCAAATTTGAAGTTATTATAAGACATCAGAAGGCGTCAAAGACGCGTTTCAGCAGTAAGCTTATGTCACTTATGTTAACAGAGACGCCATGAAAATTATTACGTGAAAGAATTGCAACAGGTACTTTCCCATGTACAAGCTGTGATACAAAATCGATGAATACTGCTCGAATATTCGAAAGAATGACAAACAATATCACTCAAACAAGCCATTTCCCTCGCATGACAACAAAACAAACCAATTTTATGTTCAAAAAATCGCCTGCTCATTAAGATTGAAAGTCACGCGTCTTAGTGAGAATTCCTATTCATCATTTGATTCTTCTGAACCTACAATTATATACTAAAGAACAGAGAAACACCTGCAACCGTATTGAATCAAATAATTGCACTTTCTGATTTATATAGTTTTCCGGACAGAAACCAAAGTTATGTCTGACTTACCGAACGAAAACCTTGGTTACTTCCCAGCGTCCTTCGGCATACCACTTCTAATCGGATAATGAAGTTTTTTTACGCCTACAAAGTTTATTTAAGGCTTCCTCTATGCATCTTTAACCCTCCTATTGACTTTCGTGATAACAAACTATCCCTAAATGGAGTATATCCGCATTCAATATCAAGGCGCGAGCTCTACGTTGTATCTTGATCGGACCGAAGTCACTTCCTCTAGTTCCAGGAAAGACGAGTGGTCTGAGGAACAAATATATAATGAAGGGAGGGGTAGGAGAGCAAAGGATTTTGAAACGAGAAGAATTGCTGTTGTTAAAAAAGTCTTGGTAATTTCGCGCTTCCGATGTTCAGTCCAGATATACTGATCTATCTGGAAAATAACGATGATAAGGTCCTTTTTCCTTTCTCCCCCTTAGAATCAAGTAAATACAAGCGTTCATGTATTTATTATGATACTAATAGCGTACTATAGCAAATAAATATAAACAAACATTTTGATTGGTTCATTCTTATGGTTTATCGGAGTACTCACGCATAACTTACATCACCATTAACAATTTTTGCTTTTTACCGCATAAGACAAATAGATCCTATGTTGCCATGGATCCGTTCCATTCAGTAATATATCGCAGATGCAAGATGAAGTCCTAATTAATGTGGTGATCACATCAGTGACACTCCCGGCTACGCCTTGTGTGGCCACTTTTTCGTTCTTACCACATTTTGACGTCATTTGTGATCTGTTATTGAATGAACACACGGCAACATGAAATCTATTTGCTAGTGCTGCAATCTGATTGGCTTCCATACTCGCTATCAATTCGATAATAGGTCAGAATGCGGCAAAAAAAAAACAAACAAACAAACAAACAAAAAACACAAATAAAAACATGAGCTTTTCTTGCTGTTGAATAAGTATATACTAAACAATTAGATTACGTGCATTTACTCTCGATTTCTATCACGTGATAATTGTCGAGTGCTTCGCCCTAATTGAACTATCATGCGATAGAAATCTTGAGCTCGTAATCTAATCGGTGAATAGTACCCAGGCTCTTCCAGATTTACGTGGCACGGAGATTATACTTTCTGTATCGTTGCTTTATATTGACCTGAAAATTATCAGAGGTACGTATCGTATCTATCAATTGTTCTTTTGCATGTAGCTATATCTATTGAGAGCGTTGATGCGATAGATTCATTCTTTATTATCGTCCCACGCTCAAGAAAATAACCTCTAAAGTGTATTGACACTTGAATAAATGAAAGTTTATTACTACCTTAAAAAGTCGGCTGAGTCCTCTATTAAAGTTATACCGAAAAAAAACCATCTTTACTAATAGGAACCAAGAAAGGATAACTTTCCCTTCCCTTCTATCAACTAGCGACTTAGTGTAGCGAACTGCTGTCAGTGATGAAAGTACAACTCGTGATGATTTAAGAACAAGTTACGTAATGTGTTGTCGTGCGTCTGATCAGGAATAAATCAGAGAGTACGTCAAAGTTTGGTAAGTACATTGACCAGAGTGACACACTCGGCTGCGCCTCACTCGTGTTACTCCTTTGTTCTTATCATATTTTGACATCGTGTGAGCTATTAAATATCTTTCCACGCTATGAGTCACAAGTTTTTTTGGCAAGCTTTCGAGAGCGAATTCTACGTTATCGCCTGGTAAACACACAGACAATATTAACTCATACAGCTCATTCTGCCTTGTTATCGAAAAAGGGAAATTATTTGTTTTGGCGTAACTTTTAGAGTTGCATGCATATATGTGGACCCCTATAAGTAAACTCAGTGATTTGGAGAGAATAGTTAGATATTGGCCTCGTTGTAGTTCGTTTTTTTTGTTAGTACGTTATTTGACCTTGGTTTCGCCTCGATACATATTAAAAGCAAAAAAAATAAATAAATAACCAATATCAGCCGTTTTTACCTCATGTATGGCCAATAACTGACGTACACTTTGAGGACCTTAGAGGGATTCTGCCTCAATACTGACGTCACCAGCATGCCGCCTCGACTTAGGGACTAGTTCAGTCAGTGTCGAGTTAGTGGGAGCGGGGGAAGCATAACACAACAAAAGTCCTCCGAATCCCCACCCCTCCCCCCTTACCAGGAGACAAACAATGAATGGTCCCTTTATACCTGTCTGAGATCTGACATTGGACGACACTGTGACCCATATGTGTCGATATTCGTCTGTAAAATGTGGTTCCATGAAGGTTCATGATACACACATGGTATGCAGTCAGTAAAGAAAAATCCTTTTCGAAAATTCTTAACACTTGACAGCGAAGTTGACTTATGAACTGTGTCAATTGTCAACGACTATTGTCGAGTTTTACGTTTAAAAAGACAAAAATCTACTCCTCGATGGAATTCTTCTCTAAAAATGGATAGATAAAATGATTCGGTTTTGGTTCCCCTTGTGGCCAGTTGTCATCTGACAGAAAATCAAAACCTGTCTGCACACTTCTCCTTAGCACTGAAATATGGAGTCGTATCAGTGACATGCAAACCAAGATAACATACGATTATTAGCCAATGGTATTTTATTTCCTCCGCCGAATCAAAAATCACTGATCTTGGTGTCACCATTCACTCATCCCCGGTATTTCGTTACAACCCTCTTACGTTTCTGAGTTCACATGACTGTCGTACAGTAGAAATATTTCCTAGAAGCTGGAAGGGAATTCCTGCAGACTGTTGTGTTCGCGGCAGAAATGGGTAATGATACATAACGACAGAATAGTAGGAATTAACTGAATTATAAAGCTCTTAAAGAAGATGAGACGGCAGAATTCTCGAGGTGGGTTTGTTTATTTTAAAGCTTTGATGTTTTTCTTGAGACCATTTCGGTGAAACGATTGGTTTTTTTAATTTGGGATAATCATTGTCTGCAAGTCGAATTATTATGTATATAATAGTTAAGCGACAAAAGTGAAATTGTACAATAGCAGTAAATAGAAAGCTTAAAACTTTTTCTTTAAATTTAATCCCTTTTAAATACAAAAATTTTATCGCATATTTACTTGCGGACTACGGCTTCTACTATAGGGTTTCTGTTCCACGAAGCCCTAACATTCCTCTCCCAGTTTGAAATCGGGTATTGAATTAAACAGGAGATATGTAACACTTTCGAAAGGCTTTGACACATTGTAAACTAGCATTTTAGGCAATCTTTTCTTCTGTTCCTTTACTTTCTGTATTGAAAGCGCAGCATTTGAAGGGAAAAGGTGTTCAAAATACTTAGTAACTTTATCTTAACAAGAGGATTGCCTTTTAAAATTATGTACCATTGGAATACGTATCGGCGCTTTGGACATGCAAGTACTTCTGTGAATAAGAATTCTCTCAAAAATGTCTCAAAACATCAATCATCGTTTTTCACGTTAAAAGAATCATTGTATTTCCTACATATATCACCACTGGAGACGGTAAAGGAACAATTACGGCTTGTTTTTTAACAACAGAAGTCAGTTTTAGTAGCCATGATAAGCAGATGTAAAATTTCAGGCGAGTTTTGTTTACACAGTGAGTGATTAAGAGGTTTATCAGATTGATAGTGTCTCCCAATCTGAGCTGCTATCTAATCTTCATGAATACCGACAATTTATTGAAATAAGCATTTCGCCGTTGTAAAAAGTAAAAGTCCCCCAGTCATTTCCTTTTTTAACAGGACTTCCTTATAAGGTCAAGTTTCGTGCAACCTTAACTTTGCAGTGATCAGGTTCGGGATTTAAAATCCTTGTAAATCTTTTCATTTCTTAATCATCCTGCTTCTACTTTGGTTTTGGAAGATTTTTTTGTGGGTGAAAGCATCCTGCAATACAGAATACAAACAAACAAACAAATAAACAATTAAATAAACAAAAGAAAAACTTTTAAGGTGTACGTGTGCCCATATTTTCTTCCTTTCAGCGGACAACCACTTATTTTTATTTTTAAACTTAATGAGATTTTCTGTTTGACCAAATGAAAGCAAGCATAAAAGTTAATTAGATAATTAGTTTAAAATTCTGGAGGTTTCCACCTTTCGTCCTGTAAACTGTATCTGTCAGCGCGCGAGACATTCTTAAAATTTTCATGCCCTTGGCCTTATTTATGTTCGATGGACCTGTTACGTAATTGGTAATTTAACAGGCGACTACGAGATGATTGCTGTAAAACAAAAAAAAGGAATTAGAGGAAAGACAAGCTGAAACCAGGAGGGCTAAAAATTGCCAAACCTTAAATATCGAATATGAGTCTGAAGGGCTCTAGTATGATTGGTGTACAATTTACCATCAAGAGCTCTAGGCAAAGTTACTAACCATCCAGACTTAGCAGACGTTTTTTTTTTTTCTCAGAGAGAAAGAGATCTAATGTTACCGTGTTTTGTGATCAATGAGTTGTGGGATCCTTGTGAATGTCTTATGCTCATAAAGTTAGACCGCAAGGGTCATTCAGGATGTGGGTGGCCTTGTCTTTCAAAGTCTTTTACTTGTAAGACTTAAGTTAAAACTTGAAATGATTATCGAACCTGATAGCAAAGATAACGCCAGTTTTAAGCTCCAATTATCTTTTGAATTAAAATTCCAGTTTAAGTACTCTATTTTTATGCTTACCCAAAACGGAAATCCCAATGCAGAGCAACTTAACCTCTTCAGCAATGACGTCACTAACCCTTGACACCCTCACATCACTATGCATATTCTCCATACTGTTCTCTATACATTTTTCATGGTACTGACAAGGAGAATTTGCTTAATAATCAATAGCTTGTTTAGTTCGCGATCATTTCCTAATTCTTATGACTTCAATGTATCATTCAAGTGCGATACTCATTAAAGGAAAAATTACATACTTGTCACTCCTCGGGCTAAAAGGCTTAAACCCAAGACTCTCACTGGCAGTGGTGTTTAAAGAAAATGTGTAAACACTGAGTAGAAAGTGTGTCGTAGAAATAAATGTTTGAATATTTTTATTAAGGTTCAGACGTATTTGAAGAAGAAGGAACAGGCAGGGTTCAAGTTTATGTCAGGATTCGTCCTCTGGTTGAGAGTGACGTCAGAAGCTTGGATGGAAAAGGAGCAGTTAGCGCGGAAAATGATAACCTGACTCAGGTGTATATAATAAAAAAAATAATAATCAAACGAAACTGCAAATACAATAAAAGGCTACGGGTGAGTACCGAATAGCACACAGAGCTCGGCTGCTGTAATACTGTCCTTTAATTCTCACCCATTTCAAATTTACAGCGACTGATTCCCATTCGCCACAAACGTTCTCTAACCCAAATCAGTGACTGAGTTAGCTATGATAGTGGCAGCTTTTTACATAGAATATTGACTTAGCTTAGAACCACCTCATTTCACCGAATTCACACCAATCCCTGAATAATCCAGAAGAAATAGTGTATCCTTACGAGACCTCAAATTTTTGCCAGCGTACTCTTTCTTTGCGATTTTTATCAAATCTAGTTTATTTTATCAAATAGGTTCATGTGATGGATGGTAAGAGAGAGAAAATCTTTCAATTTGACCAAGTATTACCACCAGATGCCGAAAACGATGAGGTATATGTTCGAAGTGGCTTGAAATAACATTCTGTAGTCCTTTCACTCACAATATCACGCCCTTTATCGTTTTCTATGTCTGTCAAACAACTACTTGAATCTTGCAACATTGTTATGTTTTCTTTGATGCACAACACACCATCAAGCATAACTAAGTGCAACCACAAGTTTAGGTTATGTTTGTGACTAAAAATTTAGCTGGGTGCTCAATACGTGTTCCGATGTCCTTCAAGGTGTATCAGGTTGTTGGTAAGCCCTTGGTGGAAGCCTCCATGACCGGCCTAAATGGGATTTTGATGGCATACGGACAAACTGGAGCAGGTACTTAAAGAAAATTCTACCTTCCCAGAGCTTTAAATTGCGAAGCGTCTTGAGTCTTCTAGTTGCATGAGGTTGGAAAGCGTGACTGTGCAAACCGCGAAGCAAATTATCTGAGCTGCAGTTTTAAAGGATGGTGAAAATTACGGTAACACTCAATTTGAGAACTGATGAACTTTATTGCTTGTAGAAAGTGGGAGAGACTGTGAGCCAACACAGAAGTAACTTCCAACCCCCAGGCCCCGCCGTTTCTGTGTGACCACGGATATGCAAAATTTTTTTGGGAGCTTCCATAAAGAACAGCGTGATATAAGTAGCAATGTTGGAACAGTCTCAAGGAAACTATATGAAAACGCAAAGAAACAGTTTATCTTTGATTCGTCTTTCATCAAGAGAGATCGATAACCTTTTGCTATGTACAATTTTACACTTACAGGTAAAACACACACCCTAATGGCTACAGACGGATTAACAACCAGTGTCGTATCGCATATGTTCGCTCTGATCGATAAAGACGTTGCACATTCATACGCGGTAAGCCTAAAAAGTCACATAATAGAATGATTTTTGTGCTTGTTGTTATTGAAGGTAGTTTTTTACGGTTCCTCTAAAAATAAGTTCATATGAATTACTTCCCAAGACCTACCAGTTATCTTCAATAATTTGGAGGAGATGAACAGCCCTTCATTCATCTAATTTGTTGACTAACTGACTGATCGATCGATTGATTGATTGATTCACTCAATTACTGATTCAGTGATTGATCAATCATCCATTTAAGTGTTTAATTATTATAAAAACCGCAAATCCAATTCAATACATCACAGTAAAGGATGCACTCCTCAATGAACAGGAAAATTCAACATGCCTCCCTTTTTGTAGAACATTCACAGTTTTTGCGCTTGACCCTGCTTGACTGAAGTGCACTTTTCTTGAAAAAGTATCCTCCAAATGGAAGAAACTTAGTCTAATATCAGTATTCTGCCACTTAAAAACATGCAAACCGATCAATGAAAATAACGAGAGTGGAGCGCAAGAGCTAACAAAGAGATATACTGAAACTGTTTCCAATCTACACGAGTGTGCTACACTCCCACCATTTGCAAATGTTATAGCCATTGCCTTCTGCAACCTTTTTTGTTTTTGTTTTGTTTTCTAGGTGACATGTTCCTACTTGCAGATATACCAGGCACGAGTTTACGATTTGCTAGGCTCTGAAAAATCCGGGACGGAAGTTTACTTGAGAGAACATCCTAAAAAAGGTAAAGAAACTATCATAAAGTAAACTGTAAGCTGAAAGCATTTCACAATGTCTGGGAGGGGGGAGTGTCATAATAACAAGGAACACTAGGCAGAGAGAGCTTCCCCGACTAGATTTGACGTCAAGAAGCTCTCATCTAAAGTGGCAATGTGCATAATAGGCTAGAACCTTGGATTGGTTATGTGTTCATTCTGATTCTTCTATTTGTCGTAGGAGTTTACGTGGATAACTTATCTGAATACTTTGTCAAGAGTCCAGAGGAGATTTGTAAATTGTTGAAGTCTGGCAAAAAGAAACTTGCCATTGCCGAGACTAAAATGAATCGACACTCCAGCAGGTTTGTGAAAGGCTAAAAAAAATTAATTCCATTTTAAGATGGCTCACTGACTGATTGATCGACCCACCGATCAATTGACTATCTGACTAAAAAAAAACAATTAAGTGTACGTCAATTGCACCCGCTTGCTACCACATAGCATCATAAACGCGATGAGCTTTCTTACGTATTTTAATCCCCTTTCGTTTTTTTTTTCTTGCAGATCTCATGCCGTTTGTCTACTTAAAATCGAAAGGCTAAGTGTTCCACGTCGCTATGGAGGTGATAATTGTTTTAGGAAATAACGTTGTACTTGACCTTTGTAGCTTATTAGTTCAGTCATCGGTTTGATTTTCAATCTTTTGTCCCTTCCCTTTTTGGTTTAATTGATTCCTTCATCATTGCCTTGAAATTCCAAAGGAAAAAAATGCATCGCCATTAGTATTTTCTCCAGTTGATATCTCGCAAGTTTGCAGCCTTGAAATCACTCTTGTTTTCTCTTTATTGCAGGAATAACAGACTCCTTTAGTAGTTACGAGTCTTATTATATATCAGGAACCTCAGACACAGAGTATTCAAGTGAAAGCGGCTCTGTGGAAGGCTTAGGTTCTTCTGATCACTTCGATGTAAGTCTTTTTTTAATAAATTTTTTCTGTCCAGTTCTGAATAAACGTGGTTTACCAATGGTAAATGTTCCCTTTTTTTTCTCTGTTGTAAAAATGATCTACTCTCTTTTACATTCTAAAGAATTTTAGACTTACATAAATCGTACAAGATCAATGAACGCGACCACCATTCACTGTAATGGACTTCGAAACTGACTTTTAATGGCCATGGTAATCATAAGCAAACTTTTAGGTACAGATTCTCCTAAAGTCGACAACATAACACATGCATGTAATCTTAGTTTAATTATCGGTCAGTATAAAGTGATTGCATATTGATTAAGTGCTGTTTATTTCTTTTTTGTTCCTTTTTTGTTTTGTTTTGTTTTGTTTTTTCACATAGGAGGATGAAGAAATGCTTTCGAAAATTTCATCTCAAACTTATGGTTTAGCCGCGGTCAGAGGAAAACTTTACGTGTAAGTATCCCGTTACTGTTCTTTTCCTTTCTTTCCCTTCTTCTTCCTCTTTCTCATTTTTTTCATTCATTTCTGCTTCGTTTGCGCTGATTGTTCCTGTTCGCTTGACGTTTGCTCTTTGGTCCGTTTAAAGTAATCGTGGTGAGTGTAGTTGGCACCAGGTTTTGCCGGTGTTTGAATTTTTGCGCTCATCTCACGCTACGCCTAACTCAGTGCATTGCAGCAATTTTACGGACGAGTGCAAAGCACGAATCACGCTTTACGGAAATGGTTTGATCGTTGTGGCGCACTATCACAAGTTATCACAATATTTCACCTTCTGCTGCGGCCTTGTTAACGACCGGTTTTGGTTTAGGTTGCCGTCGTAGGAAACCACATACGAGGCAATATGTCGTTTATAAAATTTTTCGTTTTTCTTCAGTATTATTACTCGGAGCAGATAAATGATTTAGTGGTTCAAGTTTTCGAAGACTGGGTATCTTTGTTCTCCGATGATGTATTATACATGCAGCAGAAAATCATTTAAAGAAACCATTTCTTTTTGTCATAAAAAAATGTCTACTAGATTGAGGAATAAGGCAGAAAAAGGACTTGCCCTATTTGCTGATTGGCGGAAAAACGGTGTTTGTTGGCCACAATACTGCTTTTCCTCAAACATGGAATTCAAATTGAGTATAATTCATAAATGATCTTGATACTAAAAAAAAATAGGTATGAGCAACTTGCGCTTTGCGAATAGCTATTCAAATCAAAGTTCTTTTATGTCCTTTCTGCTACTCACTTTCGGTTTCAAGTTCTATCCCCTGAAAGATTAAACCTAGGCAAACAATTGCAGACAAGGATACGAGAGGTCAGTAAACACGACAGTTTGTATGGCTTCGAATTTCATCCTTTACCTTCTTTCTATTTGACGCCAATGCTAATTTATCTTTGGCGTATGGAAGCTTGAGCGATAGATTAAGGATCTGATATTTTTTCAACTGCGTTTGAATTATTCTGGGCGCACCCACATTTAGTAACGTCAATATCTTCGCCTTGATATTTTGTTCTGATTTCTGCAATTCCGGTTCAGTAGAATTCCGGCAACATGAAAGCGTACAAGCATATAAAGTTCATGCAAGTGTTTTAACGTAAGAAGACATTTTACCGATCAGGCCCGACACAGTTTCACAACGAAAATCCTCGTGATAGAAAAGTTTACAATTGCGTAAAAAGTCAAAGGATATATTGAAAGGGATTACGATTGTCATGATTTGTGCATCCTGACAACTTAAGCGTCGATTTTTTTAAGTTTTGCGCCAACAACAATCCGAGTCTATCTTTCCCATCCTCAACAATCCTATGTTATTTCAGGTATATGCTTATTTGTGTGATGCTAATCTTTCTCAGTGAATCATTATTTCAAGTTTTTATATAGTTTTGAAAAGTTTTCTAAATTCTGAAATTGCTCAAGATATCGTGGCGGAGACCTGTTTATTGTAAGCATTATGTGAGGTTATCCCCGTTTTCTTATGTCCAACGATTTTGTTTCACAATATTTCCATTCGCAGCTGCGATCTAGCAGGAAGTGAGAGGGTGAAGAAGACCAAGGCTGAAGGAGAACGACTCCAAGAAGCACAGAGTATCAATTCCTCTCTTCTGGAGCTGGGGTAAGTTAGTAAGACGCTGCTACGCCTCACCAATAATTCACCAATTTTTGAACCAATACGACGTGTTTGCGATTGTTTTGCTAATTTATTTTAAGCTCCCTTGCTTGCTCAATTTTAACCTGGGGTGACCTTGTTTTTATTCTTCTATCAGGGATCTACGTAAACAGAAAAAAAAAGAGAGAAATTATGGAGGATATTTAAGTACACAGTTGCTATATTGTATCTTCTTATGGCCAATATTTCTAGCTCACGTCAATGATCAATTCTCATATTATTATATTATCTCTGACCACAAATTAAGAGTTTTTGACTGGGGCGAATTATTCATTCAAGTTCGTATTTCAGTTACACGTGCTGTACTTTATGCTGGGAAAGTGTCAATGTTCTATCACATAATCTTCTTTGGACATAACTCATTGATCGCGTTGGTAAATTTTCCTTAAGTGTGTGGCGTGAATACTGGAAAAAAAATTAAAAATATTCGATGATGCAGAACGAAACATCCGCTTCTTGATAGAAGTTCTTATATTGTATGAATCGGAGCCCAACTAAGTGTTCCTCCCGGGCGCTTTGTCTCTACACTATAAACCCAAACAATCCTTATCTACTACTCACACGTAATAACAAACACAACTGGTTATTTTGTTTCTTGGCTATGGGAGGAACACTTTCAGTGTTCACCTGAACGCGTCGACGAGATGAGTGACGATTCTGGGGACAATGTTTATGCCAGAAGAGAAGAAAAGCCTTTGAAATAGAGAGTTGTACCATCTCCTACACATTACACTATATTGCTTCCATTCTTGATTAGCTCAACGTGATCTGGAATAATTTATGACAGGATATGAAGTCAGGAAGTACAAATATATTCCATTTTCAAGGTGAAGTATCGATTGTTTCAGGAATGTGATTCAAGCTTTAGCTGAAGGCACCAAGCGTCATATTCCATACAGGAACTCAACACTAACAAGGCTGCTACAGGACGGCTTAGATGGAAACTCCAAAACCAGTTTAATTGTAAGTACATCCTCAGTCCCCGGCTCACAAGACTGGTTTGCTCAATTTTTTAACCAAGTTATAGTACATAACCAAGTTATAGTACATAACCAAGTTAAAGTACATAACCAAGTTATAGTACATAACCAAGTTAAAGTACATAACCAAGTTATAGTACATAACCAAGTTATAGTACATAACCACGTTATAGTACATAACCAAGTTATAGTATATAACCAAGCTATAGTATATAATCGTGTTTGTTACACATTTCATTACATGCTGACAGTGTAACTTTGTTATTTACCTCAGAACTGAATTTAGGTGTTCTGAACTCATATCAGCGAGATAAGCGCAATTTACTTGAGTTCAGTTTTTGTCCTCCTTCTGAAAATGTTCGAAGCCTGAATCCGATCCTATTCTACTTTGTAGGTTTGTGTTTCTCCTTCTTTTCGTGATGTCAACGAGACACTGTGCAGTCTAAAATTTGGCCTTCGAGCGATGAAAGTTCGTAACGTTGCACAAGTCAATGTCGAGGTGAGTTGCAAGATCGGTCTGTAACTTGAATAAACAATCGAGATACTGATAAGGGTTCTCTTGAGGTTTTTTGGCCTATCCTCATTCCTCGACTTCTACGGAGAAGCGACTCTCTAGGCTTTTAGGCTTTAAGGCCGACCTCTCAGTGCTAATCGGTACCCCGTGAGCTAAGACTAAAAAAAATAATCACAACAGAAAAACAAAGAAAAAGCCACTTGGAGAGAGGAAATGCTTTACAAAAATTCCTCTGAAAACAATGCGAACTAGAATGAGTTGAAATACCTTAGTTACCGTATATTGTTGTGCAAGTGTCGTTGGATCGGACACGTCACTAGCACATCTCAGACCCAAGCACATTGAGAGAAGTGGCCAATGCCAAAACAAAGGGGTTTGTTCTTCAGTCATCCTGTTAGAAGAAAATATATACAAATATGAATTGTTAGTGGCCTATAGATTGAAATCCTCAATTCTAATCTCACTCAGAAAAGGAACCAATATGATATAAGAAAACAACCAAAGCGATTGAAGCGTAGGAGAAAAAAAGAATTAAGGTGCTTAACGGGACTTCATAGAAAATGTGTCGAATGTGAAAGAGTTTCCCAAACAAAAATAGGTTTAGGTCCAGTTTTGGTTATGCATAACAATTCTCTAAAAAGGAGCCAGGAAGGAGGGAGTAGAGAGAATTCGCGAAACGAAAACGAATGAACTACTCCAAAGAGAAAATCTCCAAGGATATTAAACAATCCATCGTGCTGATCAGACTTAATTTTGCTCGCAGCCAAGACTAATTTTCAATGTTTATTCAGGCAACAAAGTTGGATATTATTATTAGCTTTCAATCATGCTCTCACTTAAGACCAGTTTACGTTAGTCGCACAATTGCCATCCTTCAAACTTCATACAGATCTGTCAGCACAGTTTTACTATACAAGTATTTGATCATTTGTCACCATTGAGAGAAGTTTTTTTGTCATACAAATCTGTCAGATAAATAGCTTATCATTTTGGTTTATCCTTTTATGTCAAATTTGAAAGTGTCGTGAACATCCGGGATCGAATATCAGATAATATTTGCTTAAAGATATTTGAACGAGAAAAGGTTGATCGTACGTTATGTCACCACACAGATCTACTAACTGTGCACAGATACAGAAATAGCCTTTTTCAGCCATACTAAGCACACTTGGATTGTCATTGTCTCAACTACAGACTCGCTGAGACGATTTAAGCAAATACTAGTGATATCAACAGCTCAAACTGCAATCGGGAGCTGGGTACCTGTCGTAACCAAGTAACAAGAAGCTACCATATGGCTTCAGAGAAATTTGGTAATTTATCTTTTTTTTTTTTTGCATTCTTGTGGTGGCTTTAAGCTTCACGCTCAAGCAGATCTTAAAAGCGGCGACGAGAAGTGTGCATTGTATTTCTACCCGCAGGGAAGACAGTTGATAAGATGTTATATCATGTTGCTTCGGTCGATTTTTTTTTTTTTTTTTTTTTTTTTTTTTTGCATAGGATATTCTTTTTCTCGCCGAGTAAACTAAGAACTTTGCTCTGATTGGAAGGATCGAGCTGAATCGTAAGTTACAGTTGGTACGTTGTACGACAAAAACCTCACACATTGATCAATAATGCATGGTTAAAGCAAATACCATCCTTTTCAATTTTGTTTTCGAAGAGATTTAACCCACGATAGCAAAGGAATGCCAGAGGCTATCTACGTGGTTTTCCATGTCAATAATAATGTTTATCATCCGAAACACACGTATCTTTAAGTATTTACTTTGTTTTGGTTTTCATTTTTTATTTCACCTTTTGTTCAAATCTTGATAATAACTTCATGAAAATCAATATTTATCGATGAGTTTAGTCTTCGGCAATTTTTGCAAGTTACATAACAACCTTCATATCGCCCACATCACCTGAGTGTCTACACTGAACGTGGGAAACTAATTTGTCATTTTTAGGCGTTACGTAATACAATCATCTGCATTAATTTTTAGAGGTTTTACCCTTCACCTGAATTTTTCCGCTTTCTAACTTGACTAAACGATGAGTTTACTTGGATTTAAGACGAACGCAGACTGGTTAAATGAAGTTTTATTTCTATATTTACGTCATCTAGTGTTTAAAACCTTAAACATGATTTCAGTCTTTCCTTTTAACGATTTTCTTTTTTCCCTATTTCATGTTTCTGTCATTTTATTTCATGTTGACTTAATTCATTTTATTTCATCTAATTGAATTTATTTTATTATACATCTTGGCTGAAAAGCCCCTTATGGGGGGAGCTTCAATCAACGTATTTGTTATTATTATTATTATTATTATTATTATTATTATTATTGTTATTATTATTATTATCATTATTATTTTGTTGATAATAACGTTAAAATACAAGATAGATTTACTTTATGAAAATCAAGAACCACTATCTAAAGTTTTGGAGCAATGATATGTAAGAAAAAAAAATAATTACAACTTCTTATATATAAAATCAGACGATCAGTTAAATTTAGAGCCTTCTTGGAATAATTTGAAATGAATCACTCCCCGTTACTGCAACAGATCTACCCTCTAACTTAAATACTAACATAATCTTATCAGGCTACTTCACAATGAAAAAATGTTAGAAATTAAATTGCAGTTATTCAAGTCCAATAATTGAGCGTGGAGGTTAGTTTAAAATAGTTATGCTAATCACTAACATGTGAGTCTGATTGACTTCCAGTCAATCGGATGTAGCTCGGCCATCTAAACGGTTCCCGTGGATATCACGACTTTAAACTGACTATATTAGGTATTTCTGCGTGAATGGGGAGTCGGCTCTTTATATCTAAGCTATTAATAAAACACTTTGCGATGTATTGTTTATGAAATTAACAGTGAAGTCAGGATTAAAAAGTCAACAGCCTTGAAATTTGCCTTGGGTCATTTTCCTAGCTTTCAGATAGTCATAAAATTAAGAAAAAAGTGTAATCATAAATCTAAGCTCATTTGGAAGAAGGCACAAGCTGTTGTTTAAGCAACAAACACATTGGTTTGTAAGACAAGAGAAAATATGTTTGATATTTACCAAATTATGCGATCTATCCCGTTGTTGGCAGCTATATTGTTTTATCATCACCTGGCTAAAATTTATTCATTTGCTGATTGAGCGTGTGTTGCCCGTCTTTCACCCGGTTTGTTTTGGATTCTCGCGCTTTCAGCACGATCGAAAGTCAGCTGGAATGTGTTTTCATCAAGTCAAATCGCTGTTTCTACGTCGCTAAGCGGAAGGACGAAAAATGTCGGAGATTTCACCTAGGGTAGAAAGATCCTTGCTAGATTTTTGTTGAAATCTGCCATGAGTAAGATGTTCCTCTGTAAATTTAACCAAACTTCTGAGCTATTTCGTCTACAGTCATTAGTTAACATTCTCTGTTTATCAAACAAGGCAAACGAAGAGTCGAATTGCAAATATTCTTGACAGCTAGACATGTAAAACAAGTGGCTTGTATTATTCGTAAGAACATATGGTATTGTTTCGTCGCCTCTGCACTCCAGGCTCTCACTCCTTGCCACAACACCACATCAACAATCTTTATATCTTATATTGTGTGACTGATACAAAGATGATTTTGGTTGCCGTTGCAGATTGACTACGAAAAAATGGCCAAGCAACTCAGCGAAACATTGGAAAGCAAAGGTAAGGGACATACTCGCAATAACACGAGACTCGGTTACCCAGATTGCTGGTTCCAAAACCCTAAATTCAACGCTTGGGGTACTTTAACGATAGAATACTTCAACCATTCTTTCCTTTGTTATGAAAACACGAGTAGGTAAAGCTGAAGGAGCTTTACCGTGCTTCAGGTGCTGATCTAGTTTAAGTTTATTGCGGTTTTGGCGCGAGTTAGCGGCGACGAGAGAAGGCAAGAGGTCGCTCGCTGGCTCTCGTATATTTACATCATAGACATCTCTTATTACAACAGCCTGAGCAGCAAGACAGAGACAAAACAGAAAGAACAACATAATGAAAATGGAGCTTAATATTTTTTTTTTTGCTTGTTTTTTTTTTTGTTTTTTTTTTTTTAATGCAAACAACTGTTCATAAGCCACGCAGTGGGTTTTTGTGTGCAATGCTGTTTAAAATAAACAAGGCAGTTCGCTAAATGCGCTAAACTTACGCCGGTTTGATTTTTTGTAATTGCGTGATGCTGTTGCGAACAGCATGCATGTTCTTTCCAGATGAAAGCCCTGATACTCCACTCTTCAACCACGTTTCCAGTGATCCCTGTTTTATGAAAGTATAATTTACTAAACCAGTTTAAATTAATGGTTAAAAATAGCTTTCTTTTGTTGTTGTCGGGGGTAAACAATTTTCGGTACAAATTTAAATACTGTTTTGAATGCTCTGTTGCCTTTGAAACATGGTAAGTAGGTTTAAGTCTCTTTTATTGTTGCCAATTAAGGTCCTGCTTTGTTATGCAAAATGATATCTTCTACAAAGTGTTTTTCAATATCCTGTGGACTGATTTCGGCTACAATTAGCAGCGCATCATTTCTTGAGTAATTATCGTTAATTCGTGGTTCATTTTTAGTTCAAAACCAGTGAATAGCAATCCATTTCAGGGCCAACACAAGTCATAGGCAAATACTGCCTTTTTCAAGGGCAGTTTGCTTTAAATACACCATTTGTCTTACTTACCGATATCTTATTTATTGTCGGTGGTTTTTTGAAAATTTTACATGACATCACGTCTACATATTTTGGGAACCGCAGATCAATTGTTATTACCGGCGCCGATACTCTTTTGAAGTAAGATTTTGAAGATGTGCCACGTTATTCGGTGGCGTTTTGCAACGGAGAGAACTCGCAGAAATTTCATTTGATTAATTTTTTTAATATGACATATATAGTAGTTGGTCAAGGTATGAAAATATCTTAAAGGTAAATCAAGCGTAGATAGTGAAGATTAAAACGACTAGCAGATGGTGAATAACCTGAACTGAATTGTAAGCTCAAGTTTTCAAGACGCACAAACGGTGGCGTCGTTCCTTTACCGATCAGTTCTCTAACAACAAGTAACTAGTAAGGTTTGAAGCAAGTATAACGTTTCATTTTTTTTTACTTTTTTGCTAGCCTGCCCTCTCGCAAACTGATACTATGATTTTCTTTTCATAAATTTCGAGAAAGTTATCGTGCATGGATGAAATATTTCGACTATTTTGGAATTTTGACCGGCTAGTTTGGAATTATTAAACATTTTGGGCAACTTTTCGTTTTTTCGAATGAATCAAGTCAAATTTCCGAGACGACGCCAAGAATCGGAAATTAGAACAAATGAAAATAATTCTGGCCTTTATTTTGAAAACAATTTTGCAAGAGCAAATCGATCAACAAACTATTTTTACTTTAATCGGTGTTATTGAAAAATTGATTCGGTTATCTTGGTCGCTTGACAGTGACCTTTGGTTCGCGTGTAGTACAAAAAGGTTGGTTTGCTATTGCGTGACAAGGAAGTAGTATATGACGGGGAGAGAGATTCATGTGTTGTTACTAATGCTCATCGAATCAATGGCGTTTTACGCAATAAATGGCAAAATATGAGCGATTAATGCTGCCAATTGGGTACTTTTGGTATTCCAGTTTCATACTACTTGCCTGGATTTTAAAATTGATATGCAAGAGACATATGTTACATCCGCACCAAATAACATCTGTGCACAGAAACTTGCACTGTTACTTATTTTAACTTTGAGCCATTTTCATGCTTAAAGCGTTTTTCTTTTTTCAATTGATCTTTGGTACTAAAACGTTATAGAACAGTATTGCTCATTCTTTCATGATAGATAGCTTGAAGGTTTCCAGACCAAATGTCAGTGGCGCGTGATAATGAGCCTCTGCAAATGTTCAGCATGCCTTGATCTAACTAGATTTTGTTATCTATTGCTAATGTCTCGTACAATAACGGATACTTCAAATTCCTTTGGTGATGTTGGGTCGAACATTTTTGGCCTTGTCGTCAGTTTTGCACTTGCCTTCATCTCTTAGAAAGTTCAGCTGGTGTCAGTATTCTCCAACGTCACCATTCTTAGATCTCACACGAATATAATAAATCAGTGAGTAACAATTGTTACAAAGATTTATCAAAATGTCTGAAATTCTTAGTCGGCTTAGAATGCAGGCGTGGATTAAAGGATGAAAACGCAAAAACATTCATGCCAAGTTATTCAGTGACACGACGACTGATGCATTTAAATCAAACTATCTTATTTAATACAAGCTATTTTGGGGTCGGATAAGACAATTTTGTGATCCTTCTAAAGTCTCCACGATGGTCCCTGCTCATTTCATATAGAAAGCGATGCATTGATTTGTTAAATTTTTATCGTGTAAAATTCATAGTCTTCTGCTAAAAGAAACTACAGTTTTAGATTAAAAATGTGTCAATTGATTTAAGTTCCTTTAGCCATCTCCTGCCTAAGCTTTTGTAATCAAGTCCAGTCAAATATCTGAAAAACTTCAAGTTCCCCAGACCAAGCTGTCGAGTCATGAAATACTGACAAAATCTCCACTTATAAATCATTATTATTACTTTTTTTTCCATTGTCCTATCCAATTTCTGTTCCCGAAAGCACTGCTTTCTCTTATCGAGTTTTAAGTCTTGAGAATCGAATAGAACAAATAATCTAAATATAGAGTCAATCTCTCGTTCTCCAAATTTCTCATAAAAAATTCCTTCAATAAAGTACGAGGTTTTTTTATTCCTTCTTAAGTTTATCCGGAAAGGATTTTGCTTGTTTTAGCTTTACAAGAAAATGCACGGTAGAGATAATGATAAAAAGCGAACGGATGGGCGTTGAAAAAGTTGATGAAAATGTTGCTTCCTTCGGTTGAGAGATGCAATCCTCTCTGCCAAGACTTAATCGTACCACAAAGGATAATAGCAATGTGTTCTTTAGAAAAGAGGAAATGCTGATACAATACTACAATAGTTATTTTCCGAATTTGAAAGAATCATAGTATGCGCTTTGTGGAGGAATTCCGTAACTGATTTTTTGAGATAACTCTTCAAAGGACATCAATGAAAACTTTCTTCTGTTCATCACCTTTCAAGGCATAAACATTTAGTGGTCCTCGATATACCCCAGTTTTATCTTTTATTTTACGACAAGAGTTTGCAAGTGATTTGTGGGAAAAAAGTCTATAGTTTAAAGCATAGCGTTGCGTGTTGTGTTTCGGATGAACAAACAGTTGTCATGCTGGTGTGGCTGCTTGCAAATCACAGCTTCCTAAATCCACTTGAAATTCATGACAACAAAGAAAACACAAAACACCCGCCATCAAAGAACTCAAACAGACCTCACCTCGTGTTGGGTTTTACGCGTGAACCTTGCTCGTGTAGTTTCATGTCCGAAAGCTGCCGTGGTGCATAGAGGACACAATTTGGAATGGTGGTTCCTCGAACGTGCTCGGTAAGCTGATGAATCTACTTATCCTTTTATAATCCTATGACTCACGAAAATGCTGATCCAATTGGGAAATGCCGTCCTAGGCCGTCTGGTTTAACTTTTTATCGGAATTAAGATTCTTGGCCATTGGGGCTCGTGCTATGACAATTACATCCCATGCTCATTGTTCGCTTCGAGAGCAAATGATTACATGATCAAATCAAAGCAGGAATTCCTGCTTGAATTTCTTGATATTTTGTTAATTCGCTGGAGTCGGATTTATTAACACGCGAATTGCTCGACAGCAGACTATTACCGGCTTCAGATAAGCCTAGGTGATCTACGCGTCGTCTCCAGATTTGAGTGATTTATTTGCATTTGCAAAGAACGGTATTACTCCTTGCACTTTAGTATCGGATCTCAGAGAGAAACAACGCCATGGATTTTTCCCAACGTAAAACGTTTCTTTCCGCACCGTTTCGCCTGCTAAGGACCGAAAATGTTGGTCGGAAAAGCTCTAAAGTGAGCATGAGCGAGGCCTTGAGGCGAGCAACGCTTGAGCACGCGGCAAAAGGTATGACATGCTACGAATCAGTGACTTGTAACTTAAAAGGCGTCTGAGTGAATGTTTTTCTTTCTTCTCTCAGTACAAATCGTTGGTCGCACTCTGTCATGTATGATGGCATACAAAGCCGCCAAAAGTCGCCAATGTTAACTACCATGTAGATTTTGGCTTTTGAATAGGAGGGGGTCACGTTCATGTTGTGCAACTAAATCAATCTTAACCACGTTACACTTTGTTTTTTAAATATTCGACAGTATAAGACAAAAAAGGTTGTACTTTCTGTCTGTTTCGATCGTATTGTGTGCTCCACGATTCCATCTCAGAGGGCCGCTCTACTTCTTGTAGTAAAATCCATTCAAATCACTAATTGTGTTATTTGACCCCAGGTACTTGGCGGTTTATTCGCAAAGTGAATCAGCAAGGAGCCAATTGTTGACGAATCACGCTATAATTTTAAGATCACACTGCGACTGGAAAGTACATGTAGTAGTAATGGGCGAAAAAAAGGATCAATGACTGATTACGGATGTATCACGCATTGACCAAAACATACCTAAAAGCGGTTCTTATCCGAATACCAGAGCTAAAAATTAAAAGTACATTCATAAGCTTTGTGGCCAAAAGTTCAACAGGGAGAAGGAAAGGAGAACTATTTTCTGTCGACACTTTAAATTATAACGATGATCTGCATTATACACGCGTTTTGATTGGTTAATTCTAATGATTTATTGGACGACAGACACATAGACGACATCACCATAAACTGAACATTTTGCTTCTTTGTTATAATGAATTATAAAACAAATAGACTGCATTTGATCAAAACAAGAAATTTCAAATACCTGCCAGCCTTGTTTGTATTACATTTAGAAATCATGGTTTCTCATTTTTCCCGTGTTTCTGAGAGCGTCCCTCAAACTGGTTATGCATCTTTACCTTTTGTTAAGCTTACCCGTTTTAGGGGTATTGAATGTGGAGTCTGAACACAAATTCGGAATTACCGGGTGTTGTCATTTTTCTGCAACAAGGCCAATAAGGTCCTTAGCGATAAACTCATTTGGCCGTCTGTTTCGTTTTCTTAGATCTTTATATTCATATCGTTATCGTAACCAACAAGTTGAGAGTGTGAAACAGGAAAGTATGGTAACCACGGAAACGGCGTGATTTGTTGATCCCATTCATTGAAGAAACATTACCATCCCAACAAGTTGTATGTAGACGCGTGGGTTGGGAGAATCCAATGGATTTTTCCCTATCTGTCTTAATCCAATAAGTTTGCTTTATTGCGTTGATCTGAGGGTCGTGTTAACTCGCAAATACTTTACGCCTCATTACAGCTTAAACCGGAGAATGGATTAGTAAGCTGTGGTAAAACTTATTGATTCATTCTTTTATCCACTTTCTCATTCATTCATTCATCCTCTTTCGCCTCTATAAGGCGAGCCTGAGCCTGTCCTCCATCCTTCCGCTCCAGCTACTTTATCTGGAGTATTTCCACTCTACTTTCGCTATCTTCTGCATGACTCACGTTCGGCTGTGACTTTACTAAGGTCATTGTGAAAGTAAATCCGTCGGTACTTTGTGTGATCCTCTCGAGACGTGACCAACCCATGACGTCAGTTACCTCAGTGATCGTAACAATTTCTGAGAAGGGGCTTTTAGGATTTTAGGAGGTCTTTAATTCCTTTATTCAATTATTTATCAAGGAACAGACAGGTACGCTACAGAGTTTCTGGAAGAAAATTATCATAAGGACTACATTTCTTTTTCCTATTTAGGCCACCAAGCCAGCTCTTGCGCCACAAATAGATTAGGCTTTAATTTCAAGCTAGCTTACGTAACTTCGCTGCCATTAGGAATTATCTGGACCAAAAACATTTTACAAACTGAAGGCCCAGAATTGATTTTCTTTGTTTGTTTGTTTCTTTGTTGGTTGTTTGTTTAAATCGACACATGCAATACTAACTTGTTACTGTGTAGGTATGTCTTTCAGAGCGTAGATATTTATAGCTAATGCATTCGTTTTCGATCAATCTGTTGGCTTAAAAAAGAACGACTTGATGACAACACATTAACACCCTGTATTGTTTTTTTTGCAGAGCGGGAGTGGCGACGCCTAAAGGCGGAATACGAAAGTTACATTATGTCGCTAGAGGCCGAGAGAGAGACGCGACAAAGACGAGAACCTAGGCAACAAGTAAACAAATCGTCTTTACATTGAACGATATGAATAGTAAATAATGTTTACGTAATCAGTTTTAAAATTAGAAACCGAAAGTCCATCGTCAACGAGGTAATGAAAGCAAGGGTCTCTGACGTGATTTGGAATAAAAAAGATTTTGCAATTATGTCGCAAAAAAATGGAGTTATAGTTGATTTATCCAAGATGAGAACAAAATTTGTTAAATTTTTTCTCGCTCTTAAGATGAAGCTTCCAAGCTCAGTTAGTAGTAGCAACCAAACTGGCCGGGAGGCTTGGGTTCCAATCCCTTCGAACCCTGATTTTTTTCAGGCTTCTTTTCAACAGTTGCATAAATTACAGTCCACCTTCGAGTATCATTTTTTTGTTTGATCCAAGATGGAATGTGGAGCCTAACCAGATTGCTGATAGCCCAAACAGGAATCTAAGGTTTAGCGATAGCGGTTTGAAGATTGCTATCATTAAAGTTTGTAACGGTTGACTATAGCCTTCAATTCTTTTGGATCTCTCTGAACTGATTACAGGTGACCTCGGAATGCCATGATCTTACCGAGAAGGCCCTTTTTCCGGCGATTGTGGAGGAGGAAGCTCTAAGAAATCAGACAAAAGCAGTACTGCTTGCAGAATTGGTCTCTTTGGAGTTATTCTATGGTTTGGAAGATTTGGTTCGAGATGGTTCAGCTGGAAAGGCTCAGGGTGTCACCAGTAGCAAATTGCACAGTCTTACAGACAAAGATTTGCTTTTACACAGCGCTGAAACACTCTTAGAGGTATAGCTGAACTACGTTATTTTAAGTAGTATGCAGTCATATCGCAAAAAACGGCTTCAAGTTAGAAGTGTGATGTATTTGTTGCTGAGACAATCACAGGGTCAAGTGTAAGAGTCGCCTGTTTTAAGTAGTCACGTATCTTTAAAGCATCTGGCCATTAAGTATTCATTCACCGAGGACTGAGTCGCTCTAAACTAATGATGTGCAATGAAGAAGCCAGCTAAAAGCTTTTGTCAACATTTTAAGCTTCAGTTTGATTCCTTTGTTGTTATATCTATCTGAAAAAGTTTAAGGTGTGAGTTAAATATGCCATACTCATTGGGGTAAAAAAAAAAGCTGTCTCGTCTAGTCCCAACAACAGCTTAGATTGCTGATTTCTGATATTTTTCATCAGCTTACGGAATACTTCTTCACAAAGAGTACCCTTGCTATCGACGAAAATGGAAAGAACTCAAAAGGTGCTACATGTGAAACTGAGAAAACGGTTTTGCCAAGCATATCTTTGGAGTTAGGTACGTGACTCTTTGCTGTCTAACAAATACCCTTGTACCAAGTGAACATCAACTTCTAGTAGCTTCCCGCCTTGGTTACTATAAACTGGTAATCCATAATGCCTTTTGAGCTTTCACGAAAGGTTTTGATTAGAAACAGACTTAAAGGAAAATGGCACCAACGGGCCACATTGTTATGATTACGAAACAAACGAAACTTTTTTTACATAAACACTTCCCAGACTCTTAAAGTGTTTAACTAACATTTCGTATTCTCCGCTTGCGTTTTCGATGATATCATCGGTGGGAGATTTGTTTACCTTAACCAGGCATTTAGAATATATCATTAGACTGCATCATCACAAAAACCTCAGCCAATTATTGTTGGCCAAGGAAAATGAGATCGAAAAAGCTAAAATTACAGGAGAAATAACATCAGAAGGCGATAAAATGTGTGTATGGGTAAATCAATAATAAATGGGTATCCGGCTTGAGGAGGAGTGCTATTTACATTTCGGCTTAGTGCTGTTAAGTAAGATCCCGTGTTGGCAGAGGCTTTAAAATTCATAAAACAAATTAAGTGAAAAGCTAACAAGCTTAAGCTGTATGTTATTGCATAAACAAGCGTTTCTGGTTAATCTTGCCAAAAGTAATTTGTAAATCCATTTAAGATAGTGATAAAGTGAAGGAGGATTTTAATGCTCAGAATAGACCAGCAAGACCAAATTAAAACTGCTGCTACCCTTAGCAGATTCTCCAGAAGACTCTATAGGTTCCTTGTAAGCAAAATGGAATAACGCCATTCCTTTTTCAGAAATAAATGATTTGGCGGCAACTGACCACAAAGAACAATCAACATGATTTCGTCATCGGTTAAGTAAATCGCTGGAGTAGTTTGTGGTCAAAAGGCGAAGTGCTGCTTTGATTGTGGGCGTTTGACTTGAATTTGTATCGGCGACTTTGAGGCGGTACTCCTAGAGCAGAATTAGTATATGAAGTATACTTAAAGCTTTTGATGAAAAATAAAAGCATTTTAAGTATTAACGAGAATTTTATCAAAAGCATTTCTTTCAACTTACATCAATTGTATATTCATATGCAGTGTGTCGGCATCACAAGGCTATTGCCATCGGTTCTACATGACGACTGTCGGCATACATGTTATCCCTTTGTGTAAGCCTCACAAAAATTCTAAAAAACTGGGCGACAGATATCTGCCACGAATACAAACCCCCGGCGTGAAAGCAAATAAACTCTCGAAACGCTAAGGGCCTCCTTTCATATTTTCCTTTGTATATGTTTCATGCACGAACGATAACTAAAAGCGCGTGAGGCGAACAAAGCAAGCCGCAACAAGAAGAATTTGTAAACTACCCTCATCTTGTTCAAACAAAGATGAGTGATGTATTTTCCCTTGCGTTTATACATTTTTCGGTCGTCTTTTGTGACTTATTTGCACAGCTAATCTCGAATACAAAAGCTTTAACCCTGAGGATATGGTGAAGTAGGCGTCGGAAAAGTCGAACAAGTAATTTTACTGCGCGATCCTTTAACCCACAATTTGACAACTGCCACTGTCAGCAAGCTCTCCTTCTATGCTGTGTTAGCTAAGCAGGGCTAAGTTCAAAGTAAAAATACTCCGTGCAAGGTAAAGGATATATCAGTAAATTATATAACATCTGGCAGATAATGTAGAAATAATTGTCTCATCACTTGTTCTCATGTGTTCTTGTTTCAGACTACGGATCGCGACACAGCACACCGAATATCGATTCCTCGTATGAGCGAAAATTGCTTCGTGTTAGAGAGTCACTGAGTAAATTGAAACGGAAAACTGACTCTGCTGCCCTTGGATTCCTCTCGCATCTATTGGACACGAAACTGGACGAAAAAGAAAAAGGTTAGCTTAGCAGTATTTCTCTCTACGATCTCTTGCTATTGTTCAGTAATATTTTTTGCGCTCATGTACTCAACATTCAATGAAAAGGTTGTGTCCTTGCCCTAGAATACGCTGTGCGGTATTTTTTCGTAATAAAATAATAAAAACACTTTCCTGAGTAAAGCTGAGCTACATGTACGCTACTCGCTATGAATTTCCTACTTGGTATGGCTTAATAAACGTTGAACACTGCACAAGTGATCTCAATTAACACAATTTGGAACTCATAAACAGCTTTATTTACATTTACTTTGTAACTCGGAAATACAACTGGGCTGAAAAATTGAAAATAATTACATGGTTTATATATCCAACTTTTACCTCTAAAAAATTCATAACTTAAAAATTAAACCACAAAAAATAAATGGCATAGTTTCTTCCTTCCGTTCAGAGTTTTAACGTTAAAATAATCTGAAACAGTTCACTGATTAAAGCCGCAAGTCTGACCTCATCTGGGGTTAGTTAATGCCACGACGACTATCGAGCATTGTCTGTAGGTTTAGCTTAGTTTAGTCCTCTACGTGCGTCTAAATATGCTAACAAGGCCTCGGTCAGAGCACGCCATTGAATTCCGTCGCTGCCACTCATCAAGCTACTGCTATGTTCCTCGTTTCCTTCTCTACCTTCTCCTCCAAATTTTCTCGGGATAGCCTCTCTTTCGTCGGCCGTTGCGAGTCCATCGGGGGACAAGGACTCTGGGCAGGACTGAGAGAGAGCTATTCGCAACACATGACTGATCCAAAGGTCTGGCTCAGTAAAATTATATGACAATTTAAAGCTTGCTCAAACCAATTGAACTATTCTTTTATTTACTAAAGTTTTTGGCATTTGAATTTTATTTTATTTTATTTTTTTTTTTTGGGGGGGGGAGGAGCTCTTGGAGCAAGCTATTTCATTAACCATTATGGAAGTAAAACTATTTCCACGACTGTTTTGCAGAATGACCGGAAATGCCTTGTATAACATTAAAAATGTACTTCATTGTTTAATTATTATTCGAATTTGCTTTTGAAAGCTTTCTTTTAATGGGCCCTTCATTAAGACAAAACTGCATTCTTATTATACTTTCTCATAAGGATAAGCCCATTTGAGAAACTCTTTGTTTCCTTCAATACAATTTTGAGAGTATTGAATGAGGACATTCTTCACGAAAAAAATTTTTTATCATAGTTGTACAGAGCAGTTTGAGTACCATACGTTTTCACATTTATTCAGCTCTCCAATTTTATTTTTAACACGAGAAAGTATAAGGTTCTACATTTTCCAAATTATAGTATACTGTGTGTATGAAATGAACCTTATCGTGCTGCATGATCTGCATCGAAGACGTAATTAGCCATCATGTAGACAATCTTCATGAATGCAATCAACCAATTTCAAATCTTAATAAGCGAATGGAAAAAGCTGATAAAACTGTTATTATCAATTTTGACAAATGAATTGTGCATTTTTGTATTTGAGTAGAATGTAATGACACCAGGTATGCAAAGTTAGGGCAAGAGAATATAGATGTTATGTTATCATTTGCGGACCAAAATTATTCCACGAAAAGGCACAATGATGTAAGATGAGAAAGTTATTCTCGATTGGAGGTTCAATTTTTGACATGGGGTCTTTCATGTAAAATATCATAATTTTTTTTTTTAGCATGGCAATCAACTCTGAAACTCACTATTTGAGTCGCTCTGAAACTTACTTTGGAGGATTTGTTGCATCAGGAAGCTATGTCTAGATTGAATACTACTTCTTAGATTCCCAGTAACTTTTCATTACTTTTTCTTAGGTTTGCAAGAGTACAGAAGGCGATTGTTTGAACTTCTAAAGCACCTTCTAAAATCTCAAGACTCTGCCTTAGGTAAGATTTGAGTAATCTCTTCGAACTCTATAAACTGATACATACACATCAATGAATTTTGAATTTATAAAAATCATATATGTGTACTGCGGTTTCATGAAATGTATGAAAGCTATCCTTGCAGTGATAAGCGCTACGTATGTAGTAGTGGAAATAAAGCCTGAAAAAGCAGCTCCCAGTTGGCTCTTTACCTCAGTCGGGAGAGCACTGCACCGGTATAGCAAAGGTCATGAGCTCAAATCCCGTACGTGCCTAACTTTTTTCAGGCCTTATTTCCTCTAGTACATAAATAGGGTTTATTATTGCAAGGATCGCTTTCAAACATTTGATACATATACATCAACTTTACAAACTTAACATTTGCAGCAAGGCCGGAAGCTCATAACAATCAATGCACCCAACGCAACTCTTACAGAACAACGCCGACGAAAGGTTACAAAGTTCGTTTGTGCCCTTTAATGGTTGCATTATTTAACTTTTAGGTTTTAAACAATATATAATCACTGAAAAAATCAGACGATAGAAGGAATCAGACGTTGTTTTATTGTTCGAAACATCGTTCTGGTCAGAATGAGACACCAACCTACATGGATCACAAATCATTTAGTCGACGATACATCATCAAATTTCCTAGATTTCCGTTTCTTCAATGTGTTCATTGAGATAAGCATAACCAACATGAATATCGTTTGCTTGTGAGAAGTGAAAAGGCTGTTATACTCTTTTTGAAATGGTAACGATAACCTTGTCACAGTTTTTTATATACCCTGCACAAGTTCTTCCACCTCTACCTTCCCCCCCTCCCTGAATTCAGTGTTGGCTAGGCTTGTCCCAATTGCTGTCATTTGACAACGTTTCGAAGACCTATTGCGATCCTCATCTAATATTAGAGCGGATAATCGGTTAAAATGACGCCCAAAAAAGGCTATCTTCGTTCCTTTACTTTTCAGAGTATACTTAAGTTTCGCCCATATTTGCGAGTGACTTTTAAAGCTAAGTTTTGAGCTATAATTTTTTGCAGATGTCGAAAATTATTGTGAAGAACAAAAAATACGGCCTTTATATTAATGCTCACATTATAATTAAATCAAGAAATTTAGGAAACAAATTTTGGAATTTTGGCAATTTTTTAACAACTTTTTTGCATTCCAGAGAGAAAGTTTCCCGTTTTACGAACACAATCGGGACAGGCCTAGTATTTGCTATTGTTAAAAAATAGGGGCGAATGCTGATGTCTTCTGTCTTAAGACCACGTCAGAGCATATCCAGGAAATTTTGATTATTTTTGATGAGGGAAGATTCCTCATAAAGTCACTTTGGAAACGATTGTCTTGAGGAAATGACCAGAGCATGGACATATTTCATTCTCAAAGTTAACTCCATCACATTGATGTTTAACTAATTTTTTCCTCTGTAAAGATGGCGATGGAACTCCCGTCGATCCATTGAAGCTCGAACAGTCCTTGTGTCATGTGCTTATGGACAAAGCCATTCTGAACTGTCTGTTGCTGTTGGACAAGGCGGATATGGAGTCCCGCATTAGAAGCTTAGCACAACAACAAACGCGGTTTGACTATTCAGGTATTACATTGCCTTAGAAATGAATAAAGGAATGTGAAAGTTTCTCCGGCATTATATTACCTCTTCGCCAGAAGAGGAGCGAATATTCAAAGAAACCGAAACCACTGGCCTCACATAGTCATCATCAACTACAATGTACTAAAACCTTTTTCACTTGTTGGGTTTTCCATTGGGATTTCTTTGCATTGGTTTTAGTTTACTCCCAAAGTCATTTTTTGGTACTCTGAGCCTTCTCTTTTAAGTTGGGCAGCATAGGTTCGTTTAGAGAAGTATGATCCGAAAACCATATGATTTTTGCCTCTGCCTTTAAAAGGATGCCTGTAATTCTAACACTAACCAGGTTTTGTATTTAAAAGAGTATAGTCTCCTTCCGAAAAGTGCGGCCATAGAAGTCATCGTTTAAAAACTTGATTGGGAGCCTGGCCACTTGCCTTCGACGGAACAGACTCACTTTTCCTCTTTCCTTTTTGTTTTTCGATCACTTACCGAACTCTTTGAAAAACTCTTTTGAAAAACTAAAAGAACAGAAATTCTTTAGTCAAGAAGAGATTTTTCCTTTTTTTTTTTTGTCGGCGACAACCAGAGCTGAATCTGCGGTAAACCGCGCTTTGTGATTCCCGAAAATTTTCTAAACGGCGAGGAGGCTCTTCGGAATCGTTAAAACATGGCAAATAGAAAAGTTTCACACCTACATTAAAAGGGCAGAGACAAAACTCAGTGATTTCTGAGGCATACTTCTCCTTTGACGGAGCTATATTTCATCCCTAAGGAATCAGCGGCATGACAGCCGAATGTTCAAGTCAGTCTAGCGATGACTTTCTTCCATCTCCAACTTTGTCAGGAACGCAAAGCGGAGAAGGACGACTGACATCCGTCGACGAAGGGGTGGTACTTGAAAGTTTGAGTGACAGCGCTAACAGCCGCGAGAAACTGTCGGTGCATTTGGAAAACACAATGGAGGAGCTCGAAGCCGAAAACGGGCGTTTGTATGAAAAGAACGAAGAGTTACGAAAAAGGTATGAACAGATCGAGGGGGAAAAAAGTAAATTGACTCTGAAGATTTTGGATTATGAGGAAAAGCTTCAAAGATGTGAGAAGAAACTAAAACATTTGATGCAGTCAGAAACTAATGCGGAAAATGATTTAAGGAGCAAGATTGAAGAAAAGGATTTTGAAACAAACGAATTATTAGTGCGTGTTGATGAGCTGGAGGATCAACTTCAGTTTAGAGAACAAAAGATGGAATTTCTAAGAGAAACAGAGAGGAAGCTTCGAGTACAGCTTTCTGAAGAAAGGAAACGTTCTGACGATGCAGAGGAACGAAGCGCAAAATTGCAACTCAAAATACAACAACTTGAGGATAAATGTGAACAGTGCGAGCTAAAATTAGCTTCGTTCACGGGGTCAGATCTACTTGAGAGTAACAAAATAACAAAGCAATTAGAAAACTCGATTGCAGAGAACAAAGCGCTCAGCCTAAGAGTTTTTCAACTGGAAGACAGATTAAATGAATCTGGAGGCATCGTAAGTCCACGGACTAGCGACGAGAATGAAAGTGATAATGATCAGAAGAAAATCCTCGAAAAGAAAGTAATTGAATTGGAGGTTAAAGTGAAAGAACAGCAGGTTAAAATTCTGAGTGTGAAGGAATATGAGCGAAGGTTGCGCGCCGAACTTTGTAAAGAAATGACAAAAAAGCTTACAAAGGCTCAAACGCGTAGTCGCGAACTTGGCGAAAAAATCTTTGAGCTAGAGACAAAACTTCGACAGGCAGAACAGCAGTACTCGACTGTTAAAGACATGGACATGAATGTTCGAAGTGCCATGCGCGGCGACATAAAAATTTTAACAGAAAAGTTGGAAAATGCCGAGGCTCGAAATAAGGATGTGGAGGATCGACTACACCTCTCACAGCGTGAAGTACTCTTAACTAAACAAACCGAGTTGGATCTGCGTGAAAGAGCTCAAACGCTCGAAGTAGAAAATTGTAAATTCCAAGAGAGATTGCTCTCTCGGAAAGAGGAAAAAATGGCACGGAGTTCAACCGGAAGAACTGCAGACAGACTGGAAAAGTTACGAAAAGAGAATTCAAATCTTTCATTAGAACTAAAATCTTTTAGAGAAAACACTTTAAAACTGGAAAGGGACTTACTTGAAAGGGACCATGAAATTTTGAAGTTGCGAAATGAATCTGTGGATCTGTCAAGCGAGGTGTGCAAGTTGCGAACTGAACTTGACGACAGTGAGAGAGACAAAGCTCAACAGGAACGGAGCCTCCGGAGATACGTCGAATCGGAAGAAAAATTACTCGCAAAACTGTCGGTATTTCAGCAAGAGGTGGAGAGACTTCGGGCAAGTGAAACGGGATCAAGAAACGAAAACGAAACTCCTACAGAAATAGACTCTAAAAGCGATACCACAGCCTCGACCTTAGTAATTGGAGAGGAGCATCCCGAGATTATTGAAACAACACATATGAAAACAGACACTCTTTTAAGAGAGCAAACCGATTTGCAAACCACAATTGATGACCTTCAACATGAAAACTCAAAGATGGCGAAAGAGAATGAAAGACTCATCCAAGAAATAAAAACTCTTGAAGCCAACTTGTCCATTGTTGAGAAAACGTTTCGAGTGTGTCGTTCAGATAACGAATGCCTGTTGCATGAAATGAACCTGAAATCAGCCGAGGCGACTACCTTAAGGACCTATGCCGCATTTTGCAGCGAGAAGGCCAAGGAAATGCGGTCGGAGATAGCCGCTCATAAACAAAACGAGGCCGCCTTAGAGAAGAGATTAACTGACTTGGAGAGAGAATCAGCATTCATGCGCAACGAGGTGGGTCATGGAATATTAGATTTTACGGAGCTCAGGGAAAAGAAAATTTCCCTAGAGAAAAGGATCATCGAGGCGAGTCGTACGGTTGATCACCTTAAGCAGGAAGTTCTCGGCCTCATAAATGGTATGTTGACCTTGCAGAGAGATTTGAACATTCCTGTTGATAAGATAATTGGTTTTCTTGGATTGGATGAGGAGACTGTTCAGCGCTATAGACTAAGGCCAACATCGATTGATTCGAATGACACTTCAACCCGAACGGAAGAATCGAGTAGCGAAATTGGAAGCGATATCAATGAGTTGTTTTCATTGAAGTCTCTCTTCACTTTTCGTCTTCTTCCGGATAAGGAAGGCTTTCTAAATCCCTCAGATGTTAGCATAATGAGAGAGAACAAAACTGAAATCTTACGCTCACACGAGGAGTTGAAAGCGAAAGTCCACGCTATAAGGGACTCGCTAGGCAGAAAGTACGAGCTTTCGAACTTTACCACTGATGGAAAACTGGAGATCGAGCGCAGTCACGAAGTAAGAAGTCAACTGGCTGGTGATCCTTCCACAGAAAATTCCAACAATGATACAACGCTTCCGCGACTTAGTCGGGCAGAACGTGTTAAGTTGTCTAGTTTACTGTCACGATTAAAGGAGGAACTAGTACGAGAAAGAAATTTAAACAACGAAGGTCGAATCGGTGCCGATGATGACGACATTTGTCTCTTGTATGACAATTTGGAGTGCAAGCTCTCTCGGCTATCATGTGAGCTTGTTTCAAAGGAAGACGAGATAGCACACCTGTTAACTGAAAGGTCAGACCTTCAAAATGAGCTGGAAGAGTGTGAAAATGGCCTTTCTGTCTGTCACCATTGTGCTTTGAAAGTGCCAACTGAACTAGACGATAATAGAGAACAGCTAAAAGGCAAACTCTTATCTCAGATGCAGGATACTTCTCGGCTTGAGGGAGAGATATTTGAGTTCATGGAGTACAGACAGAAACTAGAAAAAGAACTGGACAGCATCAAAGGAAAGATTACTGATGTGGAGGACGAGCTGGATGTAAGGAAAATATTAATTGAGAGATGTATCAGCTCCAGACCATTAGTGGACGAAATGTAAGTACTTTTAATTTTTTTTTTTTTTGTCTTCAATGCTTGAGAAGCCCACGATGCAGCAGCTTTTCTCTGATAAAAAAAAAGAGCTTAAGTTGTGTCTTGCGATTTAGTGTCAGTCATCGTTAGCGAATGGCACAATAGCCTTGAATATTCTGAGTTTTCCCTTTCCATAATAACTTACGTAAGCTTCCGAGATACATGGACAAATAGTTGTTACGCGGGACTGTTCTAAAAGACATCATCATTATTTTAATTAAGCATACTTTGGACCTCACTAAACTCAACTGATCAACTGCTCAACTGATTTGGTACAGTGTACATGTTGGTAGAGTTTTGTCTTTTGTCTTTATTTCATTCAAGGTGTGCTTTATAAAACCCTGCCTTTAAAGCTCTGGGCGGCAGAGCAATCGACTACCGATAACACGAATCCTTAATAACTCTAACAGCACGCTATCCCAAGTTAACTCCATTTGTGTTATAGATTTCACCTCCTGTACTTCGAACCTCCTGTACTTCGAGCGCTTTCCAATTGCCCTTGAAGGTTTGATTTTTGTGGGGTCGACTGTTCGGTATTGCATAGTTCCTTTCTTATATTTAGGGACGTTACAAACAGTTACTCGTCCAAGGAGGAAATAGATGATCTCAAACTAAGTTCATCTGGAAAGAAGAGAAAGTCCCAAAAACACGTGACTTTTGAAAACGTAGACAATGAATCAGAAGGAAATTCTTCCGGGAAGAGAAGACGAGAGAAGCCTCACTTGTTGATCGGTCAAGATAACGAAGAGCCGAATGCCAGAAAGGAAGAATGGCGTACAGTTGACTTGGATTCCAGCGAACTGGACCTTTGTGAATTATTAGCATCAATCCCTATGGACATTCCGAAGAAACAACCCACTGAACAGGAGCTGGAGATCACTGAAATCGCAAATAGGCTCTCAGGCTACGATAACATGTCGTTCGACGAGAAATTCCAGTTTGTTTCATCTCGAAGAGAGAAGAGCGATGCAGACTCAACTACCTCTGCTAATGGCGACAATTCCTCATTCAACGGAGTTGGTTCTGTTGGTAAAGATACCGTCGATGAGGTGTGTGTTGACTATAGTGAGGATGCACACATCACTTGCCAGTTGTGTGGATTGTTCAAGAAAGGGAGATAAGCGAAGACCGTTAGCGAATTGCTTCACATACAAAAAGCTGGGTCGTGCTTTACTTAAGCGTATATACTGTATGCGTATGGAGCGGTTATGAACATTGGGACGTTACGGCTATTTAATGAAACAAAAGGATTACGATAAACCCTTGAATAGATCTTGTACTGGCAATCGTCATCTGTTATTTGAATGAACTCTATTCCTATTACCTTGCTAGAGAAAAGGTAGGATCCATTCTTATTACAAACATGTTTTTGTTTGGCGGGAAATGGGCAAAGTCGCAAGGCTTACCAAAACTTCATTCAAACTCTTGTGGTATCCCTGAAAAACTGTTGATACGATATTAACCTTTAATTATATAGTAGTCTTTAAAGTTCGCCCTCCAATTACGTGTAAACTTTGTCGGAGACTCAGAGTCAAGCCTGAGATTTTGTTTCATGCTAACTTTACACATCTTAACGGACTTCAAACTCAGAAACAAACCAAATGGATTGAAATCCTCTAATCACAATACAGTCGTTTTCCAAAGATTTTTGACAATTAACTGGTTTCGCGGGAGATTTGACTCTGGATTGACGGCACTAAATGTTACTTTTGGATAGGTCGCACGTTATTTAAAATCACTGTAAATTTCTCAATGGCTTGTCTATTTTTTTGTGCACGTGCACAGACCAGTCGTGACCGACAGCAACCTCCTCCTGTTTGCTTTCAGCGGTCAGAATCAAAATTAGCAGTCAGAATCAAAATTAGCGGTCAAGGCTTGTACTAGTTTCTTTTGAAACGTGCATTATATTATAACGGAGTAAGTTACTCATAACCAGGTGCGTTCTCATTTTGAGGACGGTCATCACTGATACAAAATTACCATCAAATGAATGCAATTATTTCATAATTTATCAAACAAACATATATTTAAAGAAACTAAGTATTTTTATTTTACAATAGTATGTTGGGTTGTTAATTTACTGAAGAAGACTTTTGCAGTTATTTTTCTAAGAAAACATTTTAAAAGTTTGAGAAGTTTAAAAAAAGATATATCGTTACGAACTATAAGTTATATAAATTGAGAAAACGCTGACTTAGTATAGCAGCTCATTTCAGACAACACAACGTAAGCAACCCAAAATATATTTTAAAGTGGAGTTTCCTTAATCGTCTACAGTGGTTTCTTAATTCCAAAAGTAAGGTTGTACACAACGTGTTCAAGGTGACGCAATAGCCTAACGGAAGCCCCCGCAAGAGTCCGCATCGAAATGTCCTAATTAGGGTCATGTGATGTGTTGCTAAGAAAACTAACCTCTTACCCAGGAGGATGAACAGTCTTTCTCCCTCTTGGGGGAGGGGGAGAGGTTTAGTGTGGGAGCATATCAAACTGTTTCCCCACTGCGATGGACATTTGTTCTTGTCGGTTCCAGCCTGGCGCGGCCGCTAACCGAGATGCCCTCCTGAGCAAATTTTCAAAATGGCGAACAAGCCAAAGGGAGAGATAAGAGAACCAAAGCGATTCTGCAACGAATACTCAGCATACACCCCTGTTAAAAAGGTCATTTCACAGAGAAAAGATACAAAATTGTATGATGTTGATCTTAACGGACTTCAAACTCAGAAACAAACCAAATGGATTGAGATCCTCTAATCACAATACAGTCGTTTTCCAAATATTTTTGACAATTAACTGGTTTCTCGGGAGATTTGACGATGGATTGACGGCACTAAATGTTCCTTTTTTATAGTTCGCACGTTATTTAAAAGCACTGTAAATTTCTCAATGGCTTGTCTATTTTTTTGTGCACGTGCACAGACCAGTCGTGACCGACAGCAACCTCCTCTTGTTTGCTTTCAGCGGTCAGAATCAAAATTAGCGGTCAAGGCTTGTACTAGTTTCTTTTGAAACGTGCATTATATTATAACGGAGTAAGTTACTCATAACCAGGTGCGTTCTCATTTTGAGGACGGTTATCACTGATACAAAATTACCATCAAATGAATGCAATTATTTCATAATTTATCAAACAAACATATATTTAAAGAAAATAAGTATTTTTATTTTACAATAGTATGTTGAGTTGTTAATTTACTGAAGAAGACTTTTGTAGTTATTTTTCTAACCAAACATTTTAAAAGTTTGAGAAGTTTAAAAAAAGATATATCGTTACGAACTATAAGTTATATAAGTTGAGAAAAATGCTGACTTAGTATAGCAGCTCATTTCAGACAACACAACGTAAGCAACCCAAAATATATTTTAAAGTGGAGTTTCCTAAATCGTCTACAGTGGTCTTTTAATACCAAAAGTAAGGTTGTACACAACGTGTTCAAGGCGACGCAATAGCCTAACGGAAGCCCCCGCAAGAGTTCGCATCGAAATGTCCTAATTAGGGTCATGTGATGTGTTGCTAAGAAAACTAACCTCATACCCGGGAGGATGAACGGCCTTTCCCCCTCTTGGGGGAGGGGGAGAGGTTTCGTGTGGGAGATTGCTTTGGACTAACATCCCATCCAGTGGGAAAGGGAACTACGTTTTCTATAAAACCTGGAATAGTCTGGCTGCCTGAGCTACTCGGCTCACTTGAAAGACAAGTGTATCGTAGCCTAGCGTGGATTTTTTTTAAGGATAAGGATGTGAAAGAAAAAGACTTCTTCTGTTAAGGGTGGAGCGCACCTACAATTCTGATTTCTCGTCACTGCAGATCATTCTGTCAACGTGATTCCTCAAAAAAGAAAGTTATCGGACAATTTTTTTCATTTGGAAAAATACAATAAAAAAGATAGGTCATCGTGACGTGCTTGTTTAAAAGATGTTGTGGGTCAAACTTACCCCATCAGTAAGTACCGGCACCAATCACGCGCGCGATTTCATCAGTTCACGGTACATTTTGCGGTGACTGGAGGCAGGGGTTTGTAGAGTAACATTTGAAAAAAAATTGGAAGGCAAAAAGTCTCGAGCGTATGGAATAATTTGCATATAATTCGTGGAAATATCACGCAGTTCTAAACGACATCGACTCAAACGTTCCCAGAGTCCTTGCTTTCAAGGTCATAATTTGCATCCTCGATTAACGGGCTTCGTGCACGTGCACGCCTCTAGCGATATCTTTTTTTCTGCCTTCGATATTTTCTTATTCCTTCAATTCAAAGGGGATAATTTGAACACAATAATTATGCAACAAAAAATAAAGGTTCCCGTGCTCGTTAAAGAACTAAAGTGTGTTGACTGAAAAACGATACCGTGTTCTCGGAATGCACACGCGTTTATTCGCCTGATTACGTGACTTACATCCGCATTACAAGATGCGCAGTGCAATAATGAGGAATGTCCCTAAGGAAATAGAACAAATAATAAACCAGCAAGCCAAAATATATGAAACTGCAAGGAGCAGTTCATCAGCCAGGAAAGCAGTGAAAGTGTATTTATGATAAATGTGTCCAGAAAAGAAAACATCTTTTGGAATCGAAACAGCACGATCTGAGGCGATCTTATGACACCCTTTCGCAATACTGAAAGCCACTACTGTAAATCAAACTCGTGGGGTTTTTATGCTGATTTTCGTTGTTAAGCTCGCAGATGTTTTGCTTCTTTGATGACGAGTCGCTCTGTTTATAGTTGTATGATGCACATGTTGCGCCATAAAGCAAGCAGTCGATTGCACAATTCAGCTCATTCTGCACCCATCGTATCGACAATCGGTGTCCTACAAGTTGGCGGTTGTATCTCCTCTCTCGACAGTGGAATTCGGCGTTTTTAAATAAGCCACCTACAAAAAAAAAACATCAAATTAGGGATGAAAAATTCAGTTCAATGAAGAGAAATTTTTCAATTAAGAGCAAAATTTACTCAGGGCTCTATTTGAGTTTCTTTTTTTCGCTGTTGGCACATTCCGAGCTCAGTTAAAAACAAAAATGATACCAAACGCGACCTGGTTATTGTGGTTTTCGGGTGTTTGACAAAGATTAAGCGTACCATGTCTAGCATGTTAATCTCTCGACTCGTTAACTTCTTTTATTAACTGGCTCAGTTCTGATTTGCCGTTTGATTACTTTGTTTTTTTTTTTTTTTTCAAAACTCGATTCGTGTCGGATATTCTAATAAATCTTTAATAGTCCCTTTTACAGTTGTGGGCTTGGTGGCCAAGCCTTTGAACAGGAGTGAGGCTAAGGGTGACCTTGTTACGATACAGATGTTGCTGCTTTTCAAATGCAAATTACTTTGTTATCATGCTAACTAGATACAGGTCTCTATCACAACAGGCTCACCCTTAGCCTCACTCCTGTTCAAAGGCTTGGCCACCAAGCCCACAACTGTAAAAAGGACTATTCCCAAGAACTGATTGTTGGTTCTCCCTACCAGCTGCTACATATTTCCCTAGTTATGAGAATTTGGTATTAGACAACTTTTACCTGATAAGTTTGAGTACTTTCATGACCCGTTTGCTGGATACTAGATGAATATTATAAGGAGAGGGTTCATGTTAATCATTTTTAGAAGTTAAAGGGTCAAGACAAGATAAATTTCTGTAAACTTTCTACTGATGAGACTCAACTTTTTGGAAAGTTACGAGACAGGAAAAAAAAAATGCACGCTAAAATTACGGTGAACGAAAAATGATATTGAGAGTAAGGAGGAAGAGGAAGATGGGCTTCTAGATTCAAACAGAGGACCTCTTCAACGGCTTATTTCTCATGCATCAGAAACTGAACATACGTGAGGCTAATAGCCCTAAAGCTGATTTTTCGATATAGGAACGTGGATGTCATGGAGCTCCGGAAAACCAGGAAGCAAGCCACTATTACTTCCCTTCCATAGCTTCCGCGCCTTATCTGTAAAACATTTCCTTGAAGCCCAGCAAAAGGTTGTGAATCTGAACACATGTCTCGCCCAGAAAAAGAACCCATCAAACACGACGCGAGTTTACCATAACCAGCCATTGATTGGCTGGTTGTAGGCAAGAAAAGTAATGATATAAGGGCAGTTTTTTTTTTATGTAATTTTGTTTCTTAAGACTCACCTCTATATTTCTTGCACATGAAGCCACATTTCTCGCTACAGTTAGACAGATACCACAAACCATCCGAGTATCGGTATGCACACAAATCAGTGCTGTTTTCTTGGTCGTATCTAGTGCTGAGTTTTGAGAACTTCCAAACATTTTTATCTTCCCAAGACGGTGTTAAGTTAACATGACCAGTCTGCAATCCAATATATATACAACTTGATACTTCTTTAGTCTTCTTTAGCACTTCTTCCAAGAAATCGTCTTCCTCTAAGCTTCCAATGCTGACTAGATTTCCTCGGCGTTTAACACAAATTTCCCTCGCCTCATGCCATGTCTTTTTCCAGTTAGATGCGATGAAGTAGCAAAATTGTAAGTTAGCTATCCACCCACCGTAGCACCCTCTGTTCGAGAGAAATACCCCTAAAAGAAAATTTCAAGACCTTTCTCGAATATCCGAGACATTTTTTATTAAAAGAAATATGCAGCATAGGTTTCTGTTTATTTCAAGATAATCTTTAATTTTATAAAGATACGCAACTACAATACCAAAATGCGTATGATGCACGATCCTCGCAGTAGAGAGCGCTATTTATGCAATAGCGAAAATCAGACCTGAAAAAAATCAGGCCTGTACTGCGAGGATCGTGCATTATGCGTATCTAATACCGCAGTTCAAACTATGTGAACTTCATATATTCATTGTATCTGAGATACCAAAATGATATCACATTGATCATTTACATACTTATTGGATTTGCTTGTGATTTATTTTCTATTCTTACGTGGCATAACGTCTTATTTATTGAAAAAGCTTTGACCCAATTTGGCATTGATCTGTTGTATATAAGGTAAAGTCTATATACGAGCCTAGTGGCCCATTAGGCCGGTGCTTAACTCCGGTTTCTGTACCATGAAGCGACCAGGAGTATTTCTACACCCCCCCTGGATGGGATTTGTACGTATTTGGCACGTGCGTATTTTGAACGAGCTCTATGAGCTCCTTGACGCTACGTGGGTAAATAAAGTATTGATTGATTGATTAATTGATTGATTGATGCCAGTCCATCGTAGGGTTACCCCCAGCATTAAATTGCCAGTACCCATTTAAACATCTGGATGAAGAGAGGCACTGTGATAGTAAAGTGTCTTGCCTAAGCACATAAGACAATGTCCCGGCCGGGGCTCGAACCCCGACCACTCGATCCGGAGTCAAGCGCACCAACCATGAGGTCACCGCGCCTCTACGATCTGTTGTATATATCTTGCAACAAATACTTTGGAGTTAAATACCAGTTATGTCAAAGAGCCGAATTCTCAAACGTTTTGTTTCCGATAAGTCAAGATTTCTTACCTTGTACATCTTGCGATAAACCAAGAACTGTTTCATCATTGATCGAGTAATTCCATAAAACCAGCCTGGCAAGCAACAAGGATGGATACGTTCGGGCAGATGAGTTGCAGAAAGTCACGGTGCCGACTTTCATTGACCAATCACACTTGCAATTTGTGTCAGAACAGGAGACGTTGGGAGTTGTGCGCTGGATAACATTGTTCAATCTATCAAAAAAAAGACAGAGAGCTAGGTAAAGCTAGGTTTTTTTTTTTTTTTTCATACATTGAAAAAAAGGAAATAACTTCCAGCACAGCACTTCAGTGGCGAGTCGACTACTGTAGCCAAATAGCATTTGAAAATAGTATTTTTTAGCAAAGCCTATGTTGTCGGATAAAATTACGCGATCGACATTAATCCGTGCGCGCACGTTACTTAGGAGTTTGAATATCAGTTGCTGTGCCTTTAAATGAATACCATCACTAGCTCTCCTTCCTTTAGGAATATTTTTAATATTTTTTGCACTTACATTCGAGAAGGCTTATGATCGGATGGGGCACATTTTCTTGTAAGATCAGAGAAGGACACAGTTAACGCTGTCTGTGATTTTAATAGAAAAAAAATGAGACTCACGTACCCCTCCCCACGTACCTTGTGCCATTGATAAAGAGATAGACTTCACCAGAAGCGTTCCAGGTTAGCGCCAGATGATGCCATATTCCATGACGAACACTTGCATTTACACTATGCAAACTCCAGGTACTATTCAATTCCATGCTTTTAATTGTTGCATTAATCTCATTTTCAGTTGTTCGGGTGATGCTGAGCCCGCAATCACCATTTCCAAACTCAATTAACCCCTGTGTAGTTGAAGCCTCTTGGAAAGCTATCCAAAATGTAACGCTAAAACCAGTTTGGTTGCAGTATTTTACGTCCACATAGCAAGAGTTGTATCTAACACCAAAGTCAATCCATGTATCTTGACCATAGACATTTAGGCCGATTTGAGGTGGAGACCACGTAATCTCTGCATTACCTGTGGTAATCAGAAGACGATGAAGCCGGTATACAAGAAATATGAGGACACCTCCAATGATCAGAGCTAGATGACTGGAACCTCTTTTTCGTGTCGAATACTTTTCGAAATTAAAAATCTCAAGACTAACTCATTTTCCGCGCTTTAGTTGGAAGAGGTATCAATGATTTAGAGGGCATTAATTAGTTATTCGTTACCTTTGATATACCCGTTCCACCATCCGTGGTTAAATTGCCTGTAATCATACACTTGGTTGTATCTTATTTCATTCAGTGGCCAATTGTGATCAGATCCAGAGTACCATGCCTTTGTGGCTGTAAGCAAACCTGCAACCTTTCAATAAATATAAAAAAAACCCTCTCTTTATAGGTCGAAATAGAAGCGGAGTAAAATCAATTTTCGAAAAAACAAAAAAACAAAAAAAAACAAATCTTTTGTTAAATACAACATTTCTTCGCATTCCCATGATGTGTTTACTTTCAGACGAAATGTGGTATCGTAACCGACTGATGCTGAGAAAAACTAACATTAATGGATATCCACTCTTTTGTTTACTTTGCGCAATAGAAAAGGCATTGCATGAATCCTGCTCTTAGAAATAGCTTGGATATCAAGATGCAGCGAAGCTACAAATTGACGATGATCAGTGTGGTTAAGTGAAAGGATGAGAACGAAAGTCACCCACTCAAAATGTTTAAACTTTATCGATTTTCTGACGATTGTCTGCTATAGATAAAAAATTAATGCACCTTTTTGTGTGTTAAGTAAAGAGTAACTTTATCGCTCCCTATAAAAAATAATTTGCAAAAGGAACCCCGCTGAGATTTAAAAAAAAAATAAGAGCGAATCATTAATTTTTATCATATGATATGTAAATAGGATCCACCTGGCTTTTGATAATTACATTTTAATCATTGTTGTGTTTAGAGATATGCGAAAAGAGTAATGTTTGGATGACACGGAACTTTGAAGAGGGGAAGAAAGAAAAATAACTTTAGGGCTTTACATTTTCCCTCGCTGTTTACTGACCTGCATAATAATAATTTTCCATGATAACAAAATCGTCATTTTGTCCATTCACGTGCACTGCGTTTATTTCTTCAAGAGTTCGTCTGGATTCTAAACAAAATCAATACGTTTAATCGTTCCTAACTACTTAATTTTTGAAGAACCTAGAAAGCGCTTTGCTGGCATAAATGCCAAATTCTTCTTGATGAAACAAACTGAGATACTGTTTCTTAAAAGTAACTAGAACATAATCATTAATCATTTATCATATCGAAAAATATTTTCTAATCTACCCCTTTCCTCCTCCACCTTAAAAAACACAGGTTTGATTTTGAATTGAAGAATATCTCTTTTCTTCGTTGAGAGAGTAGGCTGTTTTTAATTTGATGATTAATATTCACTGCCAAGATCAATACTCTAAGATAGATACTCTTCGAAAGGTTGCACAGTATGTCTTTTAAGTCTGGTGTTTATACGCCATTTTTATATTCCCTAAAATGCCTCAAAAGGTTAACCCTTTCCCAAGAGATTATAATTGTTTATATTCTCTTGCCCTTTTCGAAATCGAAATCTCTCTTAAAAGGATAAAAAACACTAGTCACGCCTAATAAGATTTGTTTTAAGCAGTTTGACAACGTAATCAGCAATTATCAACGACTGAAATTTCAAGATAAAGTTACATTTATGGCAAACATTGAAAAGTGGACGTACCTTTTCGATCTAGCTTGTCACTTCTAAAGTGCTTCATATATGACGTACACCGGCATGAAAAATTGTTGATGCTGTTTTAAAGTTCTAGGCCTGTATCACCGTGGAAATCGTCTGGTTGGGAATTCAGGGAAAGTCGAACACTACGAAAACAGCCGGCGTTACAGTAACTGTAATTATTTTTACGGAGCCTTTGAAAGGAAATTTAGCGGACGAGCAAACAAAAACAGTCTTAGCAGGGACCACGGGGCATAACAATTTCAAAGGATATACAATTTCAGATTCCCTGCAGGATATACCTCTCTTGTTGAATCATTTGTGGGTTTATTGACGACAGAGAGCCTCCAAAACAAGAAAATAAGAAAACCTGAATATCTCAGAACCAATCAACTGAAAGAAATGTTTTGGTCTATAAATGCCTTTTTAAAAGACGAAACTGAATAGCACCGCAAGTTCCGTCTCCTAAAAATTTTGAACAGTGCCGTTTCTTTTTTTTAATATCCATTTCAAAGTGAATGATCTTTTTCTTAAAGCTAGGTTCCATTTAGACTCTACAGTGTAGCAGAAGTGCAGAACAATAATAATATTATTAATTTATTATCAATTATTAATTGATATTAATTTCTCGCTGCGTCATGCATCATTGGATGACGAGAAGAGAGGGACAAGTTAAATTTTGCAATTACGGTTTAAATGCAGTAAGGTTTCATTCTTGAAAATCCAGGAGTATTAAACATCTTGAAGTACGCTAGAATATCATCGATATTTCTCCACGGTGCAGCTATCTTCCAAAGCCAAGCTCAATACCAAAAAGAAGTCAGAATAAAGTACGGTAACAAATGAAAACGAGACCACTTAATTTGAACAATACAGCATACCCCGGTAATTTGTAATCTTCCAATTTTTCAATTTGGTCAGCATATACTGCAGAAAAGAAAATTCAAATCAAGATTCGAATAAAATTGGCCATATTTTTTTTAATTGCTGGGAGGTGTGAGATTATTATGTTACTGCTAAATTATATATATATAGATATAACTCTTTGGCATACAAACCTCTGCTTTCATGTCCGAATTGAGCACTGTGGGGTGAGTCATTGCCGCCAGCATTGCGCATAGCTCACTAAGCTTTCCTAGTTTGAGCACTCTGGCATGGCTTAGACAATACCACAAATGTGGGATCGTTCGGGGTAACTATATCGGTTCTACCCCATCCTAGTATCAGCACTGCACTGATGAGGCCCAAAATACGAAATAATCCTGAGATCGAAGGTTTTCTCCTTCCGAGCGCACATGGTCTCTGCCATAAAGTTGGAAATTATGCTGACGATACGACCTGTATAGTGAAATCTTATCGCTCTCTGCAAGTTCTATTCAATATGATTAATATTTACCAGCGTGGCTCTGGGGCACGCCTTAATCTCACGAAAACAGGGGGGAGGTGGTTGGGGGCGTGGCGTTCGCGCGACGACCAACCACTTGTCCTCAAATGGATGACAAAACTTAAAATTCTAGGTGTTGTTTTCGGCCGCGATACTGGGTTAGACAACTGGCAGCCAAAACTAGAGAAATTAGAAAAACATCTAAATTTATGGAAATCCCGCTCTCTTCCTCTTGTCGGCCGATCGCTCATCGTTAACACCCTCGGAATTAGCAAGCTCCTATATCTCTCTACAATTTTGTGTGTCCCGAAATGGGTCATTTCTAAGGTTAACGCTTTAATCTGGCCATTTGTCTGGGGCTGTCGAATNTTTTAACTTAAGTCCCTTGAAGACGGCGCCTGGTATAGTGCAAAACGGGATTCTCACATTGAAAACTCAACATACAATTTCCATCCCTATCAAAAATGGAATAAAATGACTCCTAGTTTAGAGCAGTTTAGAGCACGCTTGCAACAATGACCCAATTTTTGGTCCTAGATTTGTTCCTTGTGGCGCAATAACCACCAATGCTTAAAGGCTATCTCAAAATACAATGGTTCGAAGTTATCTTCCGTCACTTTGAACATCAAATTCAGCTTTGCATTTCGAGAGCTGAGCAGTACCGACTTTATCATCTTAGGAAGTTGTTCGGCTCCTGTTCAACTTGATTTAAAAAAATTCTCCGTATTCATGTTTTAATTCCAGTTTCTATTCAATTTAAGTTAAGAAAAAATAAGCAAAAAGTACAAAGAGCCGAAAGCAGACAATAAAGATTTACACATATAGCAACTGATAATCACCATCTTGATGTTAAAATATTTTATGGGATCCTAAAACAGGCATTTGGCTACATCAATTTTCGCATGTCAATGACCCTAAATGTTAATTCCTAGAAAAGAGCACAATTTTCGAAAACAACTTCTTTTCACACTTATGTTTCCAACTTCAACTGGAAGCTTCTTGTTTATAACATGAAAGTGACAGCTTGTGACATCTGTCAGAATTATCATGCGTTCTGAGGTATCTGAATGTAAATTTTCCGCGTGGTATTAAAAGCCACTGGAACAGCACGTGCTTGGATTAACTCGTGAGATATTTCCCCTTCAGGTAAGCCACCCTGTTGTTATACGTGCTCTGTTAGTTTATTTAACGTATGTATCAGGTGTCACCAAGACGAGTTAGTAAAGTTATTCGTACAGAGAGAACCAGACAATAATGTTAACATTTTAAAAATCGTGTGTAAATACTACAAGTTTTGATAGGTTCGAGTGAACTTAATACGTTTGACATCGGTTCTTCCCATATTTTTATCAGGCCTAAAAGTTTTACCTTCGCGACGTGGAGAGGAATGACAAGGACATATCGAAACCAGTCGCTAGACATTTTAATTTACCTAATCATTCTAAGCGACACATGGCAATCTAGTTAACATTAGGTTAGATTAACTTGGAATTATTTACAACTTAGAATTAGCATTAAAGAATCCTAGCGTTACATTAATATTAGTCTATATTAGCCCTAGCCGTACCAATATTATAGATTAAGCTTATATTGATATTAGACCTGACTATTTTGGAATTATTTATAACCTTACATTAATATTAGTAATATTTGATACTCGTATATATTTAAGAACTCTTGAGCTTTGGAACTTTGGACTGTTTATTAATAATTAGTTGGGGCCAAGCCCACATGCTTTAGCACTTTTATTTTGTAACTTAGGTGGTTTATTATGAATAAACCCATTTTAAAACTTAAAAATATAACATATGTTAATTTGCAAAAATTTCACACCATCATTTCTCCGATTACATGAGTTGCATCCATGAGGACTTTTGGTAGGCACTATTGTGGAATATGTACTTTCCTTTTGATTTATTTTTTAAGTTCTATTGCAATTTTAGAGACCATTTTTTTCCCTATCCAAAACATTTATTGTTCAAAATTGCATCGTAGATGACAATACAGTCATGCCAACTGTTCACATCGTTTGACTCAGATGATCAGATTATCATTAAAGTTTTACAAATATTTAGAACTTGAAATATTAAGAGAGTGTCCACGAGAAAACCGGGTACTGCTGACAATGCTCAAATCTCTGGTTAGCTCAAACTTGGCCCAAATGCAGGTTATTATGAGTTTAAAGAAAGTGTGAAAATGACACTTCAATGAATGAGAGATATAGGTTGGCAGAACATCCATTTCTCCACTCTGTTCGCATAATCAATTTCATTTCTTCCCTAATTTCTTGCTTGAGTAAAGACAAGTTTTCTTAGTTTTCCAAATATTGAAAAAGGGGTATTTAAAGGCCCACTTTTTTCCAAGAGCAGCCAATTATGACCTGTTACCTTCCTACAGTTGTTTACTCATCATACCTCTTATTTATGTCAAGTTTGAACCGAATTTGCGATTTGAGCATTATTCCCCCCATACCTGGCTCCACCTGGTTTTACCACTGAAAATAATAATAACAACGATATTTAAACAAGATTCCCGTAAAACATACGTCAGGAGTCCATAATGGGCTCCTGCATCCGTTGTTTTAATTGGGACCCTATATGCCAAAAATTACCATGATAATAATTGTAATAATGATAACTATAATAATACTGACAACTACAATAGTAATGATGATAAAAAATTATCAAAAAATGAAAAATATAATGATGGATACAATAGAAATAAGATGAAAAGTATGGCAATTGTTCGAAGATTTACCTGCCACAATTTTCCTGCGAAAATATATACGCAACAATTTACACGCAACCCGCGATAGGCGCCCGCCAAAATCATAGATTAGATACCCCCTGTTTGCCATCTTTATTTTAAAATTCAGAAAATGGCATAATTTAAAATCCGTTTTGTCTTTCTAGATCATCAACTGTGCAATTTCTCAATACTTCCTATAAACATGACTCAAAATTATTGGGATACATGTCAACAGTGGCGTATTTTGCGTAGATGTCAAGATGCCATGCTGAAGAATTAATATTTATATCAAACTACTTTCAGTAATTTTTTGACATGCGGTATTATGCTGATATCTCTGTTCTTTTTATCAGATCAAGTCATACAAGCATGCTAACATCTGCCTCTTTCCTTTTCGTTTTGTTCGTTTGTTTTTTTTTTTTTGTTTTTT